CCTTGGGAAATGGGCCAAAGAGTGCATTCCCTTTATTTTCCCCTTTTAAAAAAATATTACGTTTTGTCTTTATTACACTTTATTCGTTTTATTACATGGGCTCATTATAAAAGTCAAAGGTTACGTAGAAAGTGATCCCTGCATCGAGTTAAAATGCAGGGGGGCACGGTGTGGCTGGGGTTGCTGTTCTGATGGCTGTGGGGGGGAAGCTGCAGTGGGGCTGGGGGACCCTCTGGAAGCTGCTGTGCCAGCAGGGCACGAAATTCCCGGAAGGCCTCCGAGACCTGGGAGGGAGGCGTGGTCTCCTTTAGGAGTGGTCTCCTCCGGGTTGCTGGATCCTGCGAGTGACTAGCTTGGTGGGAGGGAAGAGCAGTGAGGGGCTGTGGCTTGAGGGCGTGGGTGGGTGGGTGGGCAGGACGGAGGAGCAGCTGAGGAGGGGGGTCCCTTGGGCTCAGGTGTTGCCTGTATTGTTCTGGGGTACATCTCGGACGAGGCAGCCACTGGGCGGGCAGGTCTCTCTGCCGGGGGAGTGATCTGTCCTGGAGAGAGCCGTGGGGACCAACTTCATTATTCTTCCTGTACCATGTGGGTGTTCTACAAGGAGAATTTATTAGTGTTTTGTTTTTTTTTTCTTTTGTTTTGAGACAGAGTTTTACTTCGTTTCCCTGAGTAGAGTGCTGTGGTGTCAGCCTAGCTCACAGCAACCTCCAAATCCTGGGCTCAAGGGATCCTCCTACCTCAGCCTCCTGAGTAGCTGGGACTACAGGCGCACACCACAGCACCCAGCTTTTATATATATATATACACACACACACATACATATATATATATATGTAGTTTTTTTTTCTTTTTTCTTGTTTTTTTTTTTGTAGAGATAGAGTCTTGCTCTTGCTCAGGCTGGTCTTGAACTCCTGAGCTCAAGCAATCCTCCTGCCTCGGCCTCCCAGTGTGCTAGGATTACAGGCGTGAGCCATTGCGCCCAGCCTCTTTTTCTTTTTTTAAGAGATGCAGTCTTACTCTGTTCCCCAGCCTGGAGGACAGTGGCCAGAATTATAGATTATAGCTCACTGCAGCCTCCACCTCCTGGGCTCAGGTGCTCTCCTGCCTCAGCCTCCGGAGTAGCTAGGACTACAGGTGTGTACCAGCACACCTGGCTAATTTTAAAATTTTTCTGTAGAGATGGGGTCTTGATACATTTGCCCAAGTTGGTCCCAAACTCCTGGGCTCAAGTGATCCTCGTACCTTGGCTTCCTGAAGTGCTGAGATTTCAGGCATTAGCCACCATGACCGGCCTTAGGCCCTTTTCATTAAAGTTCTTTGTTGCAAAGACTTCATTAAAGTCTTTGAACTTGAAAACCGCAGTAGATTCCTCCATGCCCCTCGTCTGAGCAGGAACCACTGTCTAGGGAGGGGTCACCTGCCTGTGTGAGGCTTAAGCCTGCATCACTGGGTCTGGCTGGGAGTCATGGGGTTTGCTGAGGAGCTTGGAGGGAGGTGGGGCCGGGCCCTGCCCGCAGGGAGCTCCCAGACAGCCTGCCTTAGACTGGCCTGTGAGGTGTGGGCTGGGGACCAGCCAGGCAGCCAGGTCTGGAAAACTCTGATGCCTACCCACTGGGTCCCCTGGGAGAAGAGGCAGGACATGTAGAATGTCAGTGCTGGACAAGACATAGCTGTTTCTGACCTAGCCCTTTGTTGTCTCATGGGGAAACTGAGGCGCAGAGATGGGAAGGGGCTTGGCCAGGCCTAGCCAGCATGCTGCTATTGACTCCCTGGAGTGAGGGGGTTTTCCATGCTCTCCCAGCCTTGGGCAGCTGAACACTTCCCAGCGTGTTGGGGAATTTGATGAGGGTTTTATCCCAAGGGTGCCGGGGCAGCCAGGGTTGCCGCTACAAAGACGAGAAATGAAGCAAAGCCCCCGTGTGCAGTTGCCACAGGCTTGCGACCTGGATTTTAGCAGCTGTTGAAACAACTGGTCCCTGGGCCTGTGACCCCTGGAAGGGGCAGGGGTTGGGGAGAGATTACCTGAGGGTCTGCCTGGGCTGGGACAGCTGGGGAGGAGGACAGCTGGGCGGGCAGCTTCCTGCCAAGAATAGCCACGCGGGGTCCCCGTCAACCTGGGAATCCTCATCTGTGCTCTGAGCAAAGGGGACAGGTAGAAGCTCTCACCTGGGCTACAGTTGGCAGAGGTCACGGAGCCTCCCTGCATGGGCAAGTGTTCTAGAAATAGGTGAGGGCGGAGAGCCGATGTCTGCAGGTCCCCTCCTGTGCTTGGCCGAGAAGGAAGGCCCAGAGCCAGACCAGCTGGGCCCCACTCGCCTGGGTGACCTGGGCAAGTTTCCTAATCTGCAAGGTAAGAATGTAGTGTGTCAAAAGTGCCCAGACCATTAAGGGGCATGCAGTTGCAGTTGGCACTTAGTAATGCAGCCGCTATTTTAATAATAACGTTAACCTGTGTTGGTGGTGACGAGGGCCTGGGCACCAGTTCATCTGTAGCTTCCTCCCTCTTCGGTGCTTTTCAGAGCAGCTTCCTAAGGAAGGGGCAAGCCGACCTGGTGGCAGGAATTGAGGCAGACAGTCACCATGGGCCAGGGGGTGCGTGCATGTGCCTGTGTGTGTGTATGTGCACGCGTGCGTGTGGCTTCCCAGTTCGGTTACTGGCATGGTCCCAGCAGAAGCTGCCTGGAATACAAGATTGTCCTAGATCAGAGCCGTGCACTCCTGGGAGCCTGGCCTGGGTGCAGGGAACCAGCATGACACAGTCTGCAAGGGCCAGGCGCTCCCGCTTGGGGTTTTACAACCGTGGGGCCCATCCACCCCGCCTCATTTTAGTGAGGGGCAGGGCGGCTTGCGCCCTGAGGTTACCGGAACCTGCTAGAAGTCCTTCGTCCAACTCCTGAGCCTTGTGTTTTTAAATTTTCTTAAATCCCTTAGTTTGAACATAAATCATTCTCGTCAAAATTGGAGTAATAGCATTTTTTTTGTCCATTTGCATGGGCCAGGCACTGTTCCAGGCAGTTTCTGTCTGCCGTCCTAGAACAAGCCAACGACAAAGGTGCGGAAGGAAACGGGGGCTTTGAGGCATTAACTAGCCTCCCCAGGTGCACGTGGTGGGACGGAGCAGGCCCGGGAGGAGATGGGTCCGAGCTCGGTCTGCTGCAGCCCCGCCTCCTGAGATCGCGAGGAAGAGAAGTGCCCCGGGGTCACCCAGCCCAGGGCACTCCCAGGGCTGTCTTCTAAACAGGAGAGACAGGGGCACCCTTGTGCACACAGGAGTGAAGACAAGATCGTTCCCTGCTTGCAGGGGGCTGTGGGGTTTGGTCAGATTCTGTGAAACTGGTCCCTTCAGGGGAGTCTGAGATTTGGGGTGACTGTAGAATGGCTTGGCATGGCAAGGGCTTGGTACGTGTTTGTCAGAGGAATTGTCCTGCACCCAGAGCAGAGGCCTTTGGCCAGAGCTTGGCTTGCTGCCTGCTGTCTTGGAGCCCAGGTAAAGCACCTGGCATATCCGAGGGTCTGGCGAGCTGCTGTGTGTGGAGCTGTTGGCGCAGAGGCTCGGGCCGGGGTGTGATTACCGTGTTGTTATGAAGTGCAGCAGCAAAGCCCATCGATATTCCTGGAGCCGAGCTCATAAGCAGGAGGGAGCCCCACCCACAGTCAGGGCCTGCCGTACTGGGTGGCCACGAGCTGCTGCCACCGCGGCCAGTGCCCCCAGGGTGGGCCGTGTGCTTGCACCCTTGAAGCTCGGCTCGAGAGTGGGCTTCCGTCTTGGGGGCAGTGGATGGATGAGGGGCCATTGTGAGAGCATCTGGCCAGGCCTGGGCTCAGAGGCTGCTGGTGGGGGCGCTGCCCTGCAGCCCCTCCACTGGCCTCCTGGGAACGGAGCAGAAGCGAGGCGTGGGGGCATCTGCTTGCCCGTGGTCGCCATGGCGTGTCACACGCTGGACAGCCCCTGGAGTGGAGGATTCTCTGCCTGACGCTGGGTCTGGCAGGAAGCGGGGGCAGCCCCAACAGCTAGAGGTGCAGGTGCACAGGCAGCCCGGGACAGGGAGGCCAAGGGGATGGGTTCAGCAGGCCGTGCGTGGGGACCAGGACCCAAGCCGCAGTCAAGTTGGGAGCCTGACACACACGTGTCCACAAGGCTGCAAGGCCTGCTTTGTGGTCGTGAGTGACCTTGAGCAAGTCGCCTCCCTTCCATCTGTATCGGTGGCACATCAGGGCCCAGGCCCAGGAGGCAGCCCCTCCATGGGTTTGAGTCCCATTTGTGCTGTGTGGCCTTGGGCAAGCTCCTTGCCTCTCTGGGCCTCAGAGTCATTCTTCTTATAAGAGGGGCCTGGGTGAGGGGACCCCTAAGCCCAGGTCAAGCCAGAGAGCCCAGAGTGTGGTCCTGGGAGTGGCAATGGTTACATGCATGCTTCCACCTCCCGCCCCTCCCTCCCACTTTCCTGGGTCTGTGGAGCCCTGGGGCCTGTGGGTGGGGAGCGGGCAGGCTCGGGAGGGAATGAGAGGGTCTCCTGGCTCCTTCCTTGCCCAAGATGTCTGTGGCTGTGACCATTCCGGGCTGTCAGGGAGCAGGTTGGGAGCCTTTTGCAAGGCCAGGAGCTGTCTGGGGACAAGGAGGAGTCCCTGAGACCACCCGCACACCATCTGGGTCCCACATAGGAGCCACAGTGGTCTTGGGTTAACAGTGGAAGGCCTAAGCCCACGGGGGGGAGTGGTGGCTTGTACCCCTCGAGAGTGGCTTCATCCTGGCCCTGGACTTGGAGTGGCCTTGAGCAGTGGGAAGCAGCTGTTGCTTCTGAGGAAGTGCTTTCCTGAGCACCTTCCAGAGGGGCTGGAAGAGGAAGGAGAGACCTGGGGATGACCTGCCACCCAAGGCCACCCTGCCAGGCCTGTCTGCCTCAGTTTCCCCGTCAGGCACCTTCTGGCCCTGCCTCTTCTCTGCGCCGGGGATCCAGGTCCCACCCAGCCCTGACCGCTGCCTCTCCCTCCCCTGTCCGCAGGCTCCCCCCTGCACAAGCAGGCGTCGGGCCCCTCCTCCTCCCCGGCCGCAGCTGCTGCCCCCGAGAAGCCGGGCCCGAAGGTGGCCGAGGTGGGCGATGACTTCCTGGGGGACTTCGTGCTGGGCGAGCGGGTGTGGGTGAACGGCGTGAAGCCGGGCGTGGTGCAGTACCTGGGCGAGACGCAGTTCGCGCCGGGCCAGTGGGCAGGCGTGGTGCTGGACGACCCAGTGGGCAAGAACGACGGCGCGGTGGGCGGCGTGCGCTACTTCGAGTGCCCGGCCCTGCAGGGCATCTTCACGCGGCCCTCCAAGCTCACACGGCAGCCCACGGCCGAGGGCTCGGGCAGCGACGCCCACTCGGTGGAGTCGCTGACCGCCCAGAACCTGTCGCTGCATTCGGGCACAGCCACGCCCCCGCTGAGCAGCCGCGTCATCCCGCTGCGGGAGAGCGTCCTCAACAGCTCCGTCAAGACGGGCAACGAGTCGGGCTCCAACCTCTCGGACAGCGGCTCTGTGAAGCGAGGCGACAAGGACCTGCGCCTGGGAGACCGAGTGCTGGTGAGTGTGGGCGCTCTGGGCCCGGCCTCCCTTCCCTCCACCCTCTGCCCCACGTGGGCACGCTGAGGCAGGGTCCAGGCTGGGGCGCACGTTCCTCATCGGAACCACGCAGAGTGACAAGGGACACAGGTAACGTGGGCTGTAGAGGTTGTTGCTGTGTGACTCTGGGCAAGTGTCTTAACCTTTCTGGACCTCAGTTGTCCCATCTATAAAATGGGAATTTTAATAGCTCCTCACTCATAGTCTGAAATGCATTAATACTTCTTGTGTGTTTAGATGGCGCCTGATACTTAGTAAGTGCCCTGTAAATATTAGTTATTATTGATGTTATCTGTTGATCCAGCCTGCCAGCATGCACGTGCTAAGAATGTACTGGAAAAGACTGAGGACTAGAGCTCTCAAGATCTCTGGGCCATCCAACGTGGGTACACTCGGGCGGTCTCTCTCCCGGGCCCTGTCCAGGCGGTGTGGGGGAGCGCAGGGCTCTGTCCCATCGTGTACATCCCCTTTCCACGACGTGGAAGCGCACTGGGCCTGGAGTCTGCACCTGCAGCTGCTCAGAGCCCTGTGGGCGTGACCAAGGGGACCAGCCCCGCAGAAAACAGCCTTCCAGAGCATCCACTCCAAGTTCGTCTCACGTGTTTTTAGAAAAATTTGCTTTAATCTGTTTTACCGTGTTGATAGATGAATACCTCATTAAGAAAAGTAGCAACAAAGAAAAGGTGTGCAGACCCAGATCAGCTGTGACCTGAGCAGTCAGTGTCGTTGGAGCCAAGAGATTCGGGTCCCTAGAGCTGAAGGCTTCCTGCCAGGGGCCCCCTTCTCTGGTGGTCCCAGCTCTTGGGCCCCGGTTGGAAGGGGGCAGTGGCTCTCAAGTCCCTCAGAGTCTGGACACGGCAGGGACCTGGGCTGGGGTGCCCAGGGGGATGGGACAGAGTTGTGTCCTGCTGTGCCAGACCTGTGGCTGAGGTGGCCCTGGGCTGACTGTAGCATTGAGGGGGGTGGGTGCAGCACACGGGGATGTCCCTGACCGTGTCTGCTGGGGTGTGAGGTGCCGTGGGACGTAGCTAGCTGGATACCGCTGGGGTCCCTGCGTCCTGTCAGCCAGACGTCCTGGGCACAGTGGGGGTGTTCCTCCCTGAGGCAGGGACCCCAACAGGTATTGCTGCCTGAGATCCTCCTTCCCTGCTCTAGGACCCCTTCCCGCAGGGCCAAGGTTTCTCTTGGAGGCTTCTGGGAAGAGCATTTGGGGTAGAGGTGGGGGGCCAGTGGAAATGTGTACCCCCGTTGCCTGGCCAGATCCTCCAACCCATGCTGTAATGTCATTTTCATCCCCACTTTATGAGTGAGAAACTGAGGCTCAGAGAAGTTCAGTAACTCGTATGAGTGACAGCAGGGCTGGGTTCCAGCCAGCCCCCCAGCCTGCCCCGTGGCCTCGCTGCCTGGCAAGGGTGGGGGCCCTGCCCACCCCAGGGCCTGGCTCCCTGGCTGCAACTCCCCCGGGTGTTCTGGTGGTGGGCACAGCCAGACTTGGTCCCTGACGTCCAGCCGCAGGGAGCAGACATTGGTGGCTCCTACAGACTCTGCCGAGTGCCACAGGGCTCTGAGAGCCTGTCCTGGAGGCCTGGCCTGGTTGGGGCTGCCCCGCGGAACGGTGTCAGGGCCGAGCCTAGGGAATGGCCTGGCCTTGACCTCTGGACGTGGGGCCAAAGCCCTGCACCTGGCAGACCCGTGGCCAGAGATACTAGAGAGCTTGAGAGAAGAGCAGGGAGGCCAGTGGGTGGCCGGGGACAGGATCAGAGGGACAAGAATAGGGCAGGGTGCGGGGCAGTGCCAGGAAGTCAGGCCAGACATCTGGTCCCTTGAGCCTTCCTGTCAAAGGAGCTTGTTTTGAGGCTGTCACTCTTCTTACCGTGACTCCCAGGAAAGCCAGCAGGACACAGGCAAATGGCCTGGAGTCTCACTGCACTGTCCTTTGGGGCGTTCAGGGTCTGAGGGCACCTGCTGGCCATGGGCACTGCAGGGAAATTGGGCCCAGGTCTATGCCCTTCTCTGCTACCCTCCAGCTGTGTGGCTGTGAACAAGTCACTTACTGAGCCTCATTCTCCTTCCCTCCTTCCCTTCTTCATTCATTCGCCATGTGTCCATCCAGCAGAATGGCCATGGCACAGCACCCTTGTTGTATGTTTTATGCTTCATGCTTTAGTTGGGCATTAAGAGAGCTGTAAACCTGCGAATGCATCGCAGTCCACGAGGCTGTGGCTGTGTGAGGCCTGGCCAGTGTTCTGCGGCGTCTGGCCCGTGGGTGTGGGTCTGCGACCCAGTTGGAGTGGGAAGTGGCAGCTCTGGGCCTCACTGACGGGCCCAGTTGCTCCCCAGCTTGGTCCTGGCTGGAGCTCCCCTTGCACCTGTTCCCCCTTCAGGGGTGGGAACTGCTGCCCCTCTTGGGGTGTCCAGTGCCCGGAAGCAGGGCTTGCAGGGGCGGACGCACTCAAGCTGGCACGAGGCAGGCACTGCCGCTGCTCTGGAAGTGTCCACCGGGCCCTGGCCCATCAGAGGTTGGCAGCAGCGATGGGAACGGGCTACCTGACTTCCTGGCCCGCCAGTAGGTCCCATCCCGTGGTTGAAACGCTGTTTTCTTGGGGTGTCCCCGCCCCCTGCTGGGCCCGTACCCAGCACTTCTGTACCTTGTCCCTTTGTGTCCTTCCCACCACTTTATGAAGTGGGTGGTATCCCCGTTTTACGACGAAGAAGCTGGGCTCAGCCCTGGAAACAGCCTGCCCAGCGTCGCGTGGCAAGGAGGCGATGGGCCCTTCGTCCCCTTATTCCCTCGTGGACAGCGACCGCCCTACACACGGGTGGCCCTTGGATTCTGGGGGCAGGAGCGGAGAGGGATGTGAATGAGGGTGGAGGCCTGTGGGCCCCGCCCCGTGCTCCAGCCTGGCCGCTGCTGATGCCAGGCTCCAGCTGGCTCGGCCCGCCTGCTGACACGTCACCGTCCCGTCCCTACCCCACCCTTTTAAAGTTACGTCCTGGACCCAGGTAGAGGCCTGAACTTACACAATTTGAGGATGGGGGACTCTTTAGGAAAAACAATACCAAAGAATCACTGCAGGTTTTAGAAAGCACAGAGTCCCCTGGATGCATTGCTAGGGCCCCTCGCAGGGATGAGGGGCCTGTACAGGGGAGGGGGCCTGATGTCTAAGCTCTGTTAACTTGCTTCCCACCCGGGTCCAAGGCATGAATGCTCACGCCTGTAATCCTAGCACTCTGGGAGGCAGAGGTGGGAGGATCGCTTGAGGCCAGGAGTTTGAGGTTCAGTGAGCTATGATCATACCACTGCACTCCAGCCTGAGCAACACAGCAAGACCCTGTCTCAGAAAAGGTGGGGGCATGAATAGTATTTAGGTGAGCGTACCTTTTGCTGGTCTGCAGAGACACCTCTGGATCCTGCTCCACTGGATCCTGGTGCCCTAGGCCAACTCTCCATTTCCTTCTTCTGGGGAGGCCCACCCCCCCACCTGCTCTGGTCCTGGGCACCTTTGAGGCCTAGGGAGCGTGTCAGGGCACTGGGCTGCCTGGCTGGCCCGAGCCGTGGAGAGGTGCTACGTGTATCTGTCTTGGGGTTCCCAGGAAACCCAGGGTGTGGTCCAGAAAGTCCATCCCAGGAGGTGGGTCAATCTGCATGTGTCCTGGAGAAGTTGGCTTCAAAGCAGTGTGACCTGGTGTGGCAGCCCCCGGAGCCAGCCAGGTAGCCCCCAGTCTAGGATTTAGGTTGTGGAAGAGAAAGGACGTTCTAGGTTGGAATTATGTACAGAGCAGCAGAAACCAAGACTGACTATGGAGACACGGGGGTGGGGGCCAGGGGCGTTGAGACCAGGTGCCAGAAGGGAGGGGCTGGGAAGGCAGTCCTATCTGAGGCCAGAGAGAGCTGACGCAGACTCCCAGGCAGGCCTGCTGGGGCAGAGACCCGTGGCGCCTGCTCAGGAAGGGGACACAGAGGCCGGGTCTGGATGGGGGCCCGCTGGGATTGAGGAGGCATAGGGAAAAATGAGAGGCCCACCTGGCTCTTCCACTCACCAACTACTCTGAACCTCAGTCTCTGCTCCCGTGAAGGGGGTAAGAGTGCCCGCCTCGTGGGTTTGGAATTCATGTCTTTAACATGCCTGGTCCTGACAGATGGCGGAGCAGTCCCTTTCAGGCACACCTGAGGCGTACTCAGCGGTGTCAGGAGAGTGACACGTAGAGGGTCATCTTTAAGGGTCAGGTAAACATGGTAAATAAACATGCACATTTATGTTCAGTGTCGCCTGAACCCGCACTAGAATGACAGTGAAGAAATTTTTGTTTTAAGGAAAAAAAAGGTTTTAAGCGCTCAAGGACAGAGAGAGCGGGAGAGGAGACTGCGGCAGCAAAGCCGGGGACAGCAGAGACGTGATCGATGTTCATCTCAGAAACCCCGGAGGCTCAGGAGCGAGCACATGGTGGCCTGTGGAAACGGGGCTGCCATCGGGCCGGACACAGGAGAATCGGCTAACAAGACACCCCCTAAATCCCCTGTAGGCCCCTGTGCTCCTCTGCCCAGTGGCTCCCTCCAGCCGATGCCTGGGACGGGCGCTTAGTGTCCTGAGCGGGTCACACGAGCCTCTGGATGAGGGACCCTGGGCAGGCTGCACTGGAAAAGGAGGATGAAATGGATGTGTCTGTTCCGAAGGCCCCACACCCCTCCCCCGCCTGCCTGCCTCTTCCTCACTCAGCTCCTGGACGCTGGCGGCCAAGTCTACGCCCTCCCCGGTGGAGATTACGAGAATCTTCTCTGGGGAAGACGGCCGGCCCTCTGAGAAATAAGAGGAGATAATACAGGCATTAAATATGAACAAAACGCCACTGGATATGTGGCATGAATATTCATGAGCATGAATATTCATACCAACATAAATATTCAGGGAACAGAAAAGCTCTGGGAAATGAAAAATATGATCCCAGAAATAAGAAATGCCACAGAAGTGTGAGAAGATAAAGTTAAGAAAATCTCTCAAAAAGTAGACCAGAAAGACAGATGGAAAACGGGAGAGAAGAGAGAGCATTTAAGAGAACTTTTGCCCAGTAGATCCAGCTTCTGAATGACTGTGGTTGTAGGAAGAGAGAATCAAGTAAGTCGTTGAAGAAAATTCCCCAGGAGTGACGGGGCTTTGGTTGGTGGGGGCCCAGGACAGGAGGTGGGCAGAGGCCCACGTTGGGGGACCTCCCTGTGGAACAGAGAGCCCCGGGCAGAGAGGTGCCGTGGTTTCCAGAACAGAGAGGTGGGTCCACGTGGGGGATTGGGACTCCGAATGCCTTTGAACTTCTCAGCAGCAACACTGGACGCTTGTGTCACAGGGGGAGCCCTTGAAATTCCAAGGGAACCAACCTATTGTTCAAGAGCAGCAGGAGAATGGAAAGCAGGTGTTCGCACAAAAACTTGCGCGCACGTGTTCATGGCAACGTTATCGTGATAGCCAAAGAGTGGAAACGACCCAGTGTCCCTCGGCAGATGGATGGATGACCAGAACGTCCTCTGTCCTGTCCATACGATGGCATATCATTTGGCCACGAAAAGGGATGGGTGCTGATCCGTTGAGATGGATGAACCTTGGGAACATTGTGCTCAGAGAAAGAAGCCACACACAAATGGCCGCATATTGTGAATCTATTTCTATAAAATGTCTAGAAAGGGTAAATCTGCAGAGACAGAAAATAGATTTTTGGTTGTCAAGGGCTGAGGGGAGGAGAGAGTGGGCAGTGACTGCTCCTGGGTACAGGGTTTCTTTTCAGGGGATGGAATTCTGGAATTTGATGATGGGTTCTGGAATTAGGTAGCGGTGATAGTTGTGAATATACTAAAAGCTGATGAAATTATATGTTTTTAAATGGTTAAAATGGTGAATTCTATGTTATGTGAATTTTTAGCTTCATTTAAAAAAGCAAGGTAGAATAAAAAAATTTTTTTTTAATTTTTTTTTTTTTTTTGAGACAGTCTCACTCTGTTGACTAGGGTAGAGTGTCATGGCGTCAGCCTAGCTCACAGCAACCTCAAACTCCTGGGCTCAAGCGATCCTTCTGCCTCAGCCTCCCGAGTAGCTGGGACCACAGGCATGCATGCGCCACCATGCCCAGCTAATTTTTTCTATATATTTTTAGTTTGCCGTTTGCCAATTAATTTATTTCTATTTTTAGTAGAGACGGGGTCTCGCTCTTGCTCAGGCTGGTTTCGAACTCCTGACCTTGAGCGATCTGCCCGCCTCGGCCTCCCAAGAAAATATTTTTAGATATGAAAAGCTCGAATACTTTACTTCCTCATTACATTTTCTTAGAAAGCTGTGGGAGGATGCCCTCTACCAAAATAAGGAGTAAACCAAGAAAAAGGAAGAAGTGGGATCCAGGAAACAGGCAGTTGAGCCCAGGAGAGAAGGGAAGGGTGCCTCAGGGTAACGGTGACAGGAGGTCCCAGACTGGTAGCCGGGCTGCAGGGAGCCAGCACCAGCCCAGTCTGGGGTGGGCCCCGTGGCTCCGGGAGAGACGCCTTCAGAGAGAACGTGACAGAATTCCCAGTGCCCCTGACCATCTTGGCAGGAGATTTACACCCTTAAAAGAGTTTGGGGTTGCATTGGTGTTGAGGCCATAAAGACTAGGCAAACAATCATAAAAAAACAATTAACTGTAAGGGAAAAATAATTGTGCTGGAAAGGAAAAGTAGCTGCGACACACCATCCTCATCTGTGAGTGCCGTTTATTTGGTCGTGGCGCCGTGATCCCCGGCTGGAATCGGAGCCCACACGTGGCCGCACAGAAGGGTGGACAGCCAGAAGTCTGGAGTGGCCCCAGTGGTGACCAGGAGCTCGAGCCTCACCATCCTTGGTGGAAAGTTGATGGATGTCATCAGAAATTGAAAAATTAAGAAATAGCAATTTAAGTATGTTATTGGAGATACTGAGATAAACTCCAGAAGATCCTGCTTAGGAAGTTAAAAGTGTTTGTTTCCAGGGAGAAACTTCTGGGGCGTTTTAAAGCTTTGGATGTATTTGACTCTTTATGTGTATGTATAACTTGGATTTTAGACATTTTAAACTACTTTTTTTATTTATATAAATTTATGGGGTTGAACTATTTTTTACACTCACGCCTGTAATCCTAGCACTCTGGGAGGCCGAGGCGGGCGGATTGCTCGAGGTCAGGAGTTCAAAGCCAGCCTTAGCAAGAGCGAGACCCTGTCTCTACTATAAATACAAAGAAATTAATTGGCCAACTAATATATATAGAAAAAATTAGCCGGGCATGGTGGCGTATGCCTGTAGTCCCAGCTACTCGGGAGGCTGAGGCAGCAGGATCGCTTGAGCCCAGGAATCTGAGGTTGCTGTGAGCTAGGCTGACGCCGGGGCACTCACTCTAGCCTGGGCAACAAAGCAAGACTCAGTCTCAAAAAACAAAAATAAATAAAAAATTGTTTTTTACAGTGATATTCACACTTTTTTATTGTCCTGTTCTATGAAGAGTTTTTTAAATTTTTTATTGCAGGAATTAAAGCTTTTAATATGTTAATATGTATCACAAATTTTCTAGAAGGGAATCTAGTGTACATTTTTCCAAATGTGTTCACAAAACCACTTTTTCTCCCTCTTCCTCCCTCCATAAAATAATTTAAAGAGTTTATTCTGAGCCAAGTTTGAGGACCATGGCCCAGAGCCAAGAAGCCCTGAGCAAGTAGACTCCCTATGAGTTATTTATTTATTTATTTTTTCCTGTGAGTTATTTTTAATTGTGGTAAAAAAAACCATATTAAAATAACATAAAATTTACCATCTCAACCATTTTTAGGTGTACACTTCAGTAGCAGCAAGTATATTCACATTGTTGTGTAACAGATCTCCAGAACTTTGCATCTTGCAAAACTGAAACTCTAACCCCATTTACCAAAAAACACCCATTTCCCCACTCTCTACCAGCCACTGGCCACCACTGTTAAAACTATTTTAAGAATAACATTCACTGTAAGTTTGTATCAGACACTGTATATATAATAATTAATGCTTACAAAACCCATTTTTACAGATAAAGATGCTGAGGCTCAGAGAGGTTAGGTAACTTGCCTAAGCTCACACAGCTTGCACGCAGCAGTGTTTGAATGCAGGTCTGTGTGTCTGCCTGCAAAGCCCATGCTCTTGCGCAACAAAGCCCATGCTCTTGCGCAGCACAGCCCTGGAGGCGCTGGTTGACCTGTGTCCCTCCTCCCTGTCCTTGGGCATCTCCTCCTCTTCACCTCCCAGCTCCTCCCCTGCATACCGGAAGGGAGGGATGGGACAAGCCTATGCAGTGCCCGAGCCATCTCTGCCTGTGGCCACTGCGCCTTCCGGACCCGAGTCTCTCTGTGTCAACAGGTTGGCGGGACGAAGACTGGCGTGGTGCGGTACGTGGGGGAGACAGACTTTGCCAAGGGCGAGTGGTGTGGCGTGGAGCTGGACGAGCCCCTCGGGAAGAACGATGGGGCGGTGGCGGGCACCAGGTACGCACGGTGGGCCTCCCCCGAGGTGTGTGGGAGGGGCTCCTCTGTGTCTGGGGTGGGCGCAGAGGACGGGGACGGGGCGTCTGAGGACGCCAGTGTTGAGGATGTCATGCCAGACACCATGACAGATGCACCAGGTGCTTTCTCCTCCCCTGCCTCACAGCAGCCCACTAAGGGAGGCAGTGGGTTTACCATCCCATTTTACAGATGAGAAAATGGAAGCCAGAGAGATTTTTCTCAAGGTGGCGCAGTCACAGGCAAGCACCAGAAGAATCTGTTGTCCCCGTGTTCCTTTCTTCATGCCACACATGGCTAAGGGGGACAAGAGCCCTTGAAAAGGCAGCAGTCCCTGCCTTCCAGGAGTTCCCCGATGACTTGTGAGATAACAAGGCCGTTGGCCGGGCGTGGTGGCTCACGCCTGTAACCCTAGCACTCTGGGAGGCCGAGGTGGGCGGATTGCTCGAGGTCAGGAGTTTGAAACCAGCCTGAACAAGAGCGAGACCCTGTCTCTACTATAAATAGAAAGAAATTAATTGGCCAACTAAAAATATATAGAAAAAAAAAAATCAGCCGAGCATGGTGGTGCATGCCTGTAGTCCCAGCTACTCGGGAGGCTGAGGCAGGAGGATCGCTTGAGCCCAGGAGATTGAGGTTGCTGTGAGCTAGGCTGACGCCATGGCACTCACTCTAGCCTGGGCAACAGAGTGAGACTCTGTCTCAAAAAAACAAGGCAGTGCCCAGCTCTGTGCGGCCAGAGGCGGGCCTCACAGATGGGTCTCACGCCACCTCCGATTAAAGGGAACCGACTGCTGGTTGCTGGCGCAGAGGGTCTAAGGCTGCGTGCGGGTCCACAGGCGGTGGGGGTGATGTGGTCAGTGGGCAGCGTCTGTCACAGTGTGGACTGACCTGACACCGGGCAGCCTGAGTGCCATCGCTGGCTGTCCCTGGGCTGCATTCTGTGACCAGATGACGCTGCCAGTGGGAGGAGCCAGGCGTGGCCCGGGCCTTGCAGGAGGGTGGGGTTCGCTTTTGGACGAGGCTTGGAGGACGTCCTTGCTAGGCTGGCGGTGGGGGGACAGTCTGAGCAAAGACCTGGAGGTGGGAGGAGCTGGAATAGGGTGGCAGATTCTTGGTGAACCGGAAACCGGACAGGCCCAGTTCTCGTGGTCCAGCGTGGAATCCATGACCAGAGAGGTTTTGAGAGAAGATGAGAAGCTGAGGTTTCCATGACAACATTTCGCTTCCCTGTTGTCGAGATGGATGTTTCTCTCGACTCCCTCTTGCTTTGAGAATTCAAGGCAGGCCGGGCCGCACCCCCACACCACCCCGAGGTGTCTCCGTCAGGCGTTAACTTTTCCGCGCAGGGACTCCGTGGGCGGAGAGCTGGTGGGATTCCTTGGTTCTGAGGGTGGTCCGAGGGCAGCTGAGAGTGGGGCTGCGGCTATGGCGGGGGGCCGCTGAGAGCTGTGAGGGCCGAGCACAGTGGGCTTTGGAGCCCAGCAGACTTGGGGAGTCCAGGGCTGGCTGTGTGGCTGTGAGCAAGTCACTCAACCTCCCTGAGCCTAGATTTCCTCATCGGTGACTGTAAGTGCCATTGAGGGATTGAGATGAGCATTCATGGAAAGGGACTGGCACAAAAGGCGTCCCAGTAACTGCACTTCTCCCTCTCGCCATTCCCACTGGCTGTCACAGCTGCAGAGACTCAGGCCACACTCACCTCTGTTCCCTTTCTGAGAATCCTGTCTATCGGCCTGGAGGATTTCCACCTTGGGGTGTGGGTGACGGGGCCCTGGGGAGGTGCCTGTCTCTCTGCTGGCGGGCTCTGAAGAGATGGGGGAGGCAGGCTGTGGGGCCATGACAGCAGCGTGGGTCTCTCCTGCCTCCCCAGGTACTTCCAGTGCCCGCCCAAGTTTGGTCTCTTCGCGCCCATCCACAAGGTGATCCGCATCGGCTTCCCGTCCACCAGCCCAGCCAAGGCCAAGAAGACCAAGCGTATGGCCATGGGTGTCTCAGCGCTGACCCACAGTCCCAGCAGTTCCTCCATCAGCTCTGTCAGCTCTGTGGCCTCCTCCGTGGGGGGCCGGCCCAGCCGCAGCGGCCTGGTGAGGGTGGGGCTGGGGAGGAGGTACTCCGGGGGGGGGGTGGTGGAGATGGTGGGATCCAGGTGTCCCAACCTGTCCCCAGCTGGCTCTGGTTCCAGCCATTCCTCAGTTTGGGGTTTTTGAACAAAGAGGAAAGTGCATATCTTTTAATATAGAAGATTGATCCACTTACATTTATTGTTATTTTTATATTACTGATTTGTTGGTGGCTTAAGCCCTCCTCTGGGAATTAAGGAGGGTCCTATAGATGCAGGGCAGAGGGTTCAGAAAGGCTGGCACAGGGACCGTGAGTGAAGGAAGAGGAGGCTGCTAGTGGGTAGGGGCTGAGGGCCTTTTGTCCAAGCCCAGTCTAGGGTGGGAGGCTCCCCCGGCCCAGGAGAAGGTGGCCGAGGTGAGGGAGACCATCGTGAGCAGAGCCCTCGGGGCTCTGACCATCAGGAGCTGACTGTCCCGGGAGGGGGAGTTACCTGAGTCTGCAACATCAGAATTCCTCCCTGCGTGAGTCGACAAGGGCCAGGGTGTCCAGGGTGCTGGTGGGGGAAGAGCAGGACCCTGGGAGTCGAGGAGGCACTTGATCTGCCCCCCTGCTGGGTTGCTGTGGGTTACGCCGGATCCAGCCAGCTGTCTCGTGGTGCTCCAGATTCCTGAGCCCCTCGTGCACCCCCTCCTTCCTGCAGCTCACGGAGACCTCTTCGCGCTATGCCCGCAAGATCTCGGGTACAACGGCCTTGCAGGAGGCGCTGAAGGAGAAGCAACAGCACATCGAGCAGTTGCTGGCCGAACGGGACCTGGAGCGGGCCGAGGTGGCCAAAGCCACAAGCCACATCTGCGAGGTGGAGAAGGAGATCGCCCTGCTCAAGGCACAGCACGAGCAGGTAGGTGGCAGGTGGGGCCGGGGTGCACCTTCTCTGGGCAGTCTTGTGAGGTCACACACACTCAGGGTGGAGAGCCAGGGGTGCACAGAGATGCTAAGATGCACGCGAGAAGTACCTGTGCCCTCCTTTCTAGAGATGAGCCTCAGTGGCCTGGTGAATTTCCTTCCAGTCTTTTCTCTCTGTGTGTAGAGAAAAGTGCATCTGCTTTCAGACCTGGCTGGAAACTCGTGTATCCTGCTTTGCTTCCCTACTCACTATAGTGTGAGCATTTCCTAGGTCCCAGAAAAGTCTTTTCCGTCCTAAAGCTATGTTGCCCTCCATCTGGGCCCTGTCCTCACTGACGTGGCCAGTCTCCTGCTGCTGTTTAGGTTATTTACAGTTTTTCACGTTTTCTACATAATGCTGCAGGAGACATTTTTGTACACAGCTGTCCACATTTCAGATCATGTTTTTGAGCAGATTCGGGGGTTGGATTTCAGGGAAGTGACCCCTTGCCCCAAGTCTTGGGGCAGCTGCTGTCATGTCTGCTCCTTTCTCTGATGTTTGTTTGCCATGTGAGTCCCCTCCTGGGCCCCTGTCCCCATGGAGGCCTGGCTCGCTCCTCCTCGGGTGCCAGGATTAATAAGGCCGAATTCTTGAGTATTTTGTGGCAGGGCATGCACAAGACAGCAGGTCTTAGGGCCTCAGACTTGGGCCCTTACGGGCTGGGGGTGGGAGGCAGGTATTTTAGGGTATGTGGGCCTGAGGGTTCCACGGGGTGAGGCCTGCCTCTGCCTCCAGGGTGTCCTGTGGGGCCCTCTGTCCACCTAGGCCCACTGTCCATGCCCAACAGGGGGGTTCCAGGCCTGGCTCCCTGCCTCTACCCTACCCCACCCTCTGCCTAGACCCCCTGTCCAGGAGGAGGCTGACCCTGTCCTGGCCCTTGCTCGGGGCCCAGTATGTTGCAGAAGCAGAAGAGAAGCTGCAGCGGGCCCGGCTGCTGGTGGACAGCGTGCGGAAAGAGAAGGTGGACCTGTCCAATCAGCTGGAGGAGGAGAGGAGGTATGCGCTGCCCGACTGACCTGGGGGGGCGGGGTGGTGCTCTCCCTGAGCCCCGCTAAGGAGGATGAGGAAGAGCACAGGCTCGGGAATAGCGGACCCAGGTTCTGCCCCCACCACTTCCTGGCTCTGTCACCCTGGACTAGTGACAGGAGCTCTGTGGGCCTCAGTCTTCTCATCTGCAAAATAGGGTGCTGGGCCCCTCTTCTGCAGGTGGTTATACAGACTCACAAGATCACTGGAGCAAAGCACCAAGCACAGTGCTGGGCACACGGGGACTCCACGTTTGCTCGCTGCATGGAGTTCCTGTTCCTGCCCCGTCCAGTGATGTTCCGTGAGATCACCAGGGTAGGGGGGTCCTGTCACACCAGGTGTCCCTAGGAGCTGTGAACCAAGAAAAGGCCCAGTGCCCCCCACACTCTGTGAGCCAGTTCGCATGCACACAGTGCCCCAGGCCGAGTTTTGCGGAGAGGAGCTCAGCGTGCCGGACCTGAGGCTCTGTTCCTGTTTGGCGTGCCAGGAGAGGGAGGCTCAGGGAAGCAGCAGAGGAAGGACTCCCGAAAAGCCTCGAGTCCAGGTGCCAGCCCTGTGCCGTGTGCTTTACCGGCGTCCTTTCTCTCCGTCTTACAGTTAGCCCAGGAGACAGGTACTGCCACGGATGAGGAAACCAACCGAGGCCCAGCACAGGGAAGGGACGTGGTGGGACACTGATTCCTTGTGCCCTGCCATGGTGGCATGTGGGGACTGTAGTTCCTTCTGTGCGTTTTTGAGTCTGCTCCAGGGATGTGGGGAGACACCCACCCAGGTGAGGATCTGGCCGAGGGCAGGAGCTGGAGGGTTTTAGTGACACCTAAGAAACCTGCCAGGTGGGAACTCTGGCCTCACTCGGACCAGGGTCACCTGGTGGGACACGGTTGTCAGTGTACTGGGGCTTGTCTCCTCTCGGGAGCTCCCTCTCCCTCCTAGATTTCAGCCAGATCTCCGTGTCGCCCTCCCCTCCCCCACGAGTAGCCGGCCTGTGCTCAGCAGCCCCACTTGGGTCTGTTTCTTGGGCTTTCAGCCGAGCCATGTGCTCCACAGGCTGTTGTTACTGTCTGACTCGGAGCGGAGGGTTTATTTATATCTGCCTAAGACAGTCGTTGGGACCCACACATCTGGTTCCCATGGTGACGTGCCCGATGCCGACAAACAAACAGATCTTTAAGGCATCGTGGGAGTTGTGTTCAGGAGGATTTGGGTGCAAGTTCCAGCAGTGCCCCATACTTGCTGTGTGACCTTGGGCAGGTCGCTTGCCCTCTCTGGGCCTCAGTTTCCTCATTGGTATGCTGGGAGCTGTCAAGAGGCCCTGTAAGAGCAGCTTGGAGTTTTTAGGTGTGGTTGTAACATGAGGTAGGCCTCTGTGTCTCTCTCCTGTGCTATCCTGGCACATGTGTGGGTGAGAGTGTCCCCCTGAGCAGCATTGGGTGCCCTCCACACCCAGGAGCAGCCCAGGGACTGTGGACTGGGACCTTGACCCCTGATTTGGGGGCCTGTGGACAAGGGCAGGGTCAGCAGGGAAGGAGGCCCACTTTCCTCCCTTCCCTTCCTACGCCCTCTGCACAGATTGCTCCCCGTAGCAGCGTCTGTTCCCTGCAGCCATGAAAATGGCATTGTCACTAACACCACTGCGCTTCCATCCACAGTCCACTCTGTCCTTGTTCCCTGCCACCCCAGGGAAGAAGGGTGTTGCATTAAACACTCCCATCTTAGAGGCATTGCTGGTTCTGCTTAGAGTGTGGGTCAGCAAGGTGGGAGGTCTGGAGGTTTCCAGAAGGCTCTGCCCCCTCTCCATCACAAGATTGTGGGCATGTCCCTGTTCTGCTGGGACAGTCCCCTCCGCATGGTCTGAGCGTGGACTCTGGGCCATTTTGAGGGCCTCGCCTCTCCCTGCCATTGTTGGCTCGGTGAAGCCCGCCGCTCTGGGCAAAGCCCGGTCAGCTCCCGCTTTCCCCCCTGCAGGAAGGTGGAGGACCTGCAGTTCCGCGTGGAGGAGGAGTCCATCACCAAGGGAGACCTTGAGGTAACCGCCAAGTGCCCCTCCCCTGGGTTCGCTCAGCTCCCGAGGCCCAGCCCTGGCCATAGCAAATGGCCATGAGGTCCAGGCAGCACCTCTGGTCCCCCTGGGAGAGGACTGGAGGGATCACAAGGGAGACATGGGGAAGGGTCAAAGGTCACACCCTGGGAGAAGGGCAGGTGCAGGCCACAAGAGACTCTTGCGTCGGGGACATGTAGCTCGGCTGCAGGAGCCCCAGAGGGGCTGTGCGCCCGCTTGGGCAGCTGGCTGGGGTGGGTGGGACAGACTAAGGGCAGGGAAGTGCAGGCTGGGCCTGATGACATAGGGGCTGGTCTCCCCTGCCCCTTCTTGCTGGGCAGTAACCCTAACAGTGTCCCTTGGACCCTGATTCTGAGTCACAGAATTCATAGATGGGAACACAGGCTCAATAAGGCAAAAGGACTCACCCAAGTCAGGAGCCCTAGGACTGGGGACCAGTACTCAACTCCCGAACCGCCCACAGATGGTGAGGGTCGTGCGTCTCTCCTCACTATGACACCTGGACACGTTGGTCTGGACAGAGGTTGGATCTTTCACCCTCCAATCTGATGCCCCCTTTTTGAGCCGAGGGATTAGGGGTGCTCAGAGCAGTTAGTAAAGCACCTCAGGAGACCCCCACCCTGCCCCGCCAAACCATGCAGAGACTGCAGGGCTCATGAGTCCACAGCCGGGTGGGCCGAAGTGCCTGCTCCCTGGAGACCTGGGAGAGACGGCGACTCTTGAGCTGTCAGGTGGGTAGGGCACAGTGAGTTTAGTTCTTGAGCGGCCTAAGACAGCCTCTTCCCTTCCCCAGGCCTCAGTTTCCTCATCTGTAAAATGAGGAGGTTGAACTGGATGGGCGGTTCTCAAACCGGAGGGTTTGTTCAAACACAGAATGCCAGGCTCTGCCCCCAGTAGAACCAGCTGCAACCCCCAGGATTTGCATATTTTTCTCTTTTTTTTTCAATTTTATTTTTTATTTTATTTCAGCATATTATGGGGGTACATATGTTAAGGTTACGTATATTGCCCATGTCCCCCCCGCCCCCCTCAAGTCAGGGCTTCAAGCGTGACCATCCCCAGCAGGATTTGCATTTCTAACAGGTTCCCAGGTGATGCTGGTCTAGAGCCCACACCGTGGGAATCACCGCACTAGATCGTTTCTGAGCTCAAATCAGAAATTACGGTGTTGTTTTTTAATTTCAAAATATTAAAGGAGGTACAAATGTTTTTGATACATAGCTTGAGTAGGGCTATAGTAGTAGTGCCCATAGCAGTAGTAGTGCCCAGTACAGTAGTAGTGCTATATAGTAGGGCTTGAGTAGTGCCCATCGCCCCGAATAGTGTTCGTTGTACCCTTTAGGGGGGTTGGAAATTACCATTTCTGATGTTAATGGAAAAGCCACATTAAGACCCCTGTAATTTCTACTTCCCCTCCAGCAAAGGTATGCGTATGGGTGTCCTGTCCCTGGCTAGGAGAGGCAGGGGGTGGCACAGACAGGGACAGACTGGCTTGGGGTGGGGGAGATGTGTGATCTGCCCAGGGTCGCTTTTGCTGGCTGAGCTTAAAGAGCGGTCGCAGGGCACAACCCCGGCGTGGGAGCCTCATTCCAGCGCCAGGGTGTTCTGATGAGGTTTCCCCCAAGGGGACAGGCCATGCGGTTGCTCTTGGCCACCCTTCCCATGTCTGGGGTGGGCTTCTGGGGAGAGCGCCCATCTGTCGCCAGGAGCAGAGACTCCTGTGGCCCACCCCAGGCACCAGGGTCTTAGGGCTGTAGGAAACTAACTCCATAGCCCCAAGGGTGGGCATTCCGGGGAACTGGAACCAGAAATGGCATCAGGAGCTGGGCTGTGTGGCTGGTGCCCTGGTCTCCCTGCTCTCCAAGACTCAGTCAAGGCCGTGTCTGTCCATCCGTCTGTGTGTCTGTCTCCCTCTGTCTCCTCCTTCTGGCACAGCCACGCACTTCTAGACTCACCCGCTGTCCCCATGACAGTCTCTGATTGGGCCCAGGTTAGCCAATGGGCAGGGTGGCTCTGGATCGGGGGGAAGGACAGACAGTGACCGCTAGTTCAGTCGGAAGGGCAATGGAGTCCCATAGTGACCGTTTTTTATTATACGGTCACAAGTGACTGTATTTATGGCAGCCAGAAAGCAAAATGACCTAAAGCCCTGCCCATCCCCACCCACCTCAAAAGTGAAAAATAAAAACCAGAGCCCTTCCTTGGCCCCCTGGTCCCCTCTCTCCCATGTCCTTATCACAAAACGCCCCAAGAGCAGCTCCAGCTTTTGGGACCCTTCCTGCACCAGGTCCCCCAGCTGCACCAGGGCCCCCATTCCAACTGCCCAGCCTCCTCTGCTGGTGCCAGCTCCCTCCCGACCTCTGCCCCACACTCGCCCTGAGAGCTGCCAGTGTGGCCTCAGAGCCCGGACAGGCCCTCGGGACTCCCACGCCTTCTCCCCGGCCGCGCCGGCGTCCCACTGGACGTGGCCACCCAGGTGAGTCGGGAATAGGCATCTGTATTGTTTCCTGGGGCTTCAGTAACACGTTGCCACAAACATGTGGCTGAAGACTGCACAAAGTTATGCTGTCACAGTTCTGGAGGCCAGGGTGCAGATCCAGGCTGTCGGAGAATCTGCTCCATGCCTTTCTCCCAGCTTCCCGAGGGACTGCTGGCCCTTTGGTGTTCTCCAGCTCGTAGCTGCACCAGGCCAGTCTCTGCCAGTTGTCACTTGGCGGCTTTCCTTGTGTGTCTCTTCACATGGCCTCCTTATAAAGACTCCAGTCATTGGCTTTCGGGCCCACCCTAATCCAGTATGACCTCATTGTAACTAATTACACGTGCCAAGACCCTGTTCTGAACAAGGCCAGTTCTGAGGTTCTGAGTAGGCATGAAATTTAGGGGGACACTAGTCAACCCGGAACTTGCCCTCCACCCCGCTAGCTTCCCTAACACCATCCCCTTACTGTTCCCATCTCAGGAATTGGCCCCACAGCTAGAGCTCATCTTGAACCTTCTCCCCTCATCCTACCACCAGAAATCCTCTTAACCTTGTCGCCAAAATAATCCACATCCCTACAGCCGCCTCCCGGGGCCAGGCCCAGCAGCTGGCCAAGGACGGCCTCTCTCCTTCCTCTTTTGTTCTTCCAATGTCCTTTCTCCAGGCTGAAGCCAGCATAGTCCTTTTAAAAATATCTCCTTCATTTTTGACATTGGCAGTTTTTAAACCTGTACAGAAATAGAGAAGACAGTATAATGAACTTCCATTTACTCGTCCCTCAGCTCCAACAGTTATCAACTCATGGCCAATCTCGTTTCAGCTACACCCTGACCCCACATCCCAGACATGCTGTGACCACATCTTTTAAAAACATAATTCAGGTCCCTTCCCTCTCCTGCTCACACATCCCTTACCGTGGCACCAGATACCATCCAGGCTCTGCAGAGTGGCCCAGAGGAGACCCTCGGGACCCAGGCCCTCCTCCCATCCAGCCTGATTTATCCAGGCACGCTGGGACCCTCACTGTTCCCAGACCGCCCCAAGCTGTGTCCAGCCTCTGAGCTCTTGCGCACGCTGGTTCCCCTGCCCGAAACGCTCGCCTCTTCCCCACCCCCTGCCTTGCACAGGGGCTCCCTTATCCTTCGGGTCTAACCATAAATTGTGTTTCTTCTGTATTTGATCTCCGTCCCAGCTGCTCTCTCCCCCATGTGCATGAGCCCCTTGCGGGTAGGGGCCCTGTCTGTCCTGTTCACCTCTACGACCCCCGATGCCAGACGTGGCCACGTGCTTCTCCAGGACCGGGCTCCCTGGGCCACGGGCTGGGAACGTGTTCTGTGGTTGGTTCTCCAGTGGGTATTGCTGTTTGGCATCATGAAACGTGTCCACTCCCTGCCACCACCTGGGTGGGGACATCCGTAGCCACCTTAGACTTGACAGGATTGGGGTTTTCTTATTGCTTAATCATCCAGGGGTTTTGTGTTGTTATTTTGTTAACCAAATAGTGTCTCGATGTTATTTTTCATCTGCATAGAAGCACCCATTTTGACAAGAAGAACCAGTTTTATGAACCTAGAACCAACCATTTGTTGAGATCTCTGAGGTCGACCGAGAGGAGTGGTGTGGTGCTGCCACCCTCAGGAGCCCCTGGCGTCCTTGGGGAAACCCACCCCCAATGTTAATAAAACAAGCCCTTAGATGCCTGAAAGGTGTCCCAAGGTGGCTGCTCTGTGCCTTAGGAGTGGGGTAGACATGGTGTGTGTGAGAAGGCAGGAGCCACGACCCAGGGCTTAGGCAAGGCTTGACTGTGCTCTCAGGACTGGGATTGGGGTAGGGAAATAGGAGCCCCCAACCCCCAGGAGCCTCCCTCACTGCTGTGTTGCCATGGGAGATCCATACCTCCCCTCCACGGAGTCACACTGATTCGGGGGTAAAAGTTGGAGTTTGAACCTGAACCTGCCAGTTGGAGGTTCAAGTTCCAGGCCTCGTTCTGCCTGAAGTTGCTGGGAGGTTCCGAGCCCCAGGGTCCCCACCCTGCACACTAGTGGCCCCTCTCTGCTGTGCTCGGGGAGACATCCCTTAGGTGGGGGTTGGCTTCCAGAGTCAGTACAAGCGATAAATGACATCCGCCCTTACACTGCCCCAAGCACCTTATCTGTGACTCCGTGGGACCCCAGAGTGGTGGAAACCAGGAGTGAGCGTGGTGGCCCCCACTCCCCAAGCCCTCAGCAGTGCCCTGGAGCAGAATGGAAACCAGTCCCACCTAGGATCTAGCCCTCAGAAGCTGTTTTTCCTCTCGGCTGCTGTGGTTGGATTTATGTAAATGAAGCAAGCACGTTACACAGTTCCACTGGGCTCCTGTGTGCCCCCTCAGAGACCCTGGGCCAGGAGGCTGGAAGTCATGGGGAGCGGTTCTCTGGGCTGGGTACCAAATAAAATTGCCCTTGAAATTTCAAAGCTGGAGGCTTTTCTTGCCCGTGGAGCCGCCAGTTTGGTATTTAGGGTCATGCCTCCTCTGTGAAGGTCCCGGGCAGAGCTGTTGGGCCCACTGTCGGGGTGGGGACGGTGGGCTTGGCCCTTGTGAGGCTGGCACTGAGCCACCGTCATCAGCCTGTGATCTTCTAGAAGAGACAGAGCCTGACTGCTCTTGCCAGCACTGGAGCTGCCCTCTTAGGAGATAGGGAGGGAAGCTCTTTTGTTGTTCCTTTAGGAAAATTTAAAAAATAGGCCAAAAGTCATAATCGTCCCCGTAGTTCTGAACTGCAGGAGCCTTTCTAGCAGGTGGTATCAGTTTATGCCACCACCAATGCACCAGCTTCCGGGATTTTGTCATTGTTGTTACACACGTATATGTGCTCCTTTGCTAAGCCCTGCCCCTTCGGGACTGCCACGCGGGTCTGCTTGAACCCTGTCCCTCCTGGGGTTGAGGAGGAGCCCATTGCTTCTCCCTGAGATGACCCTGGTTTCCAAACTGCTCCGGGTACCCCAGCGCGAGTGCCCTCACCCTGCCCGCTTCGCTCCCAAGATCTGTTACGGGAAACCCGAATGCCAGTCCTGACACCCTGAGAATGTCGGGCTTTGACAGCGTATGAAGTGGATATTGTGAAGCTGGGACAAAAGTGCCCTTGTGCTTTCTGGAGACCGGGCGTGCTCTGCGGGGCCCAGGGGGTGGGCACCAACAGGGCCGGGCGGTGGGAGGCGCAGCCCAGCCTCCACTGAGGAGGCCAGGCCAAGAGAATCACAATGGCGTGGGTACATTTTTGAAAACTTTCCGTTCCCTTGGTTCTGCCACCTTCAGCACAGGCCTGGGGGGCCAGGAATCCTGGGGTCACCTACTCGTCACCCTGAGGGCCTCCTACATACGGGATCCTGTGCTGGGGGAGCAGGAACAGGCTGGGGCCCTCCCCAGAAGCAGGCAGCGGGACCTGCAAGGGCAGAGGCTGCTGGGAATGACAGGGAACCAGGGTGCCCATTGCCACGCCCGCAGGGCCAGCGAGGGAGGGTTGCTGCAGCCTCACCTCTGCCCTACACACACCCACCAGGACATGGCGAGGGTGGGCGTCAGCCCCACTGCACCCTCCCCAGGCCTCCTCTCTCCTGAGTGACTCCGGCTCACCCGCTGTCCTCGCCTTGTTCACCGAAGATGACGCCTCCTCTCTCTCTTTCTCTCTCTCTCTTTCTCCGGCTTCCTCTTCCCTGTGCCCCTGCCCGTGTCCCCACCTGCCCCACCGTGTCCGCCTGGGTGGAGCAGACCCAGACGCAGCTGGAGCACGCGCGCATTGGGGAGCTGGAGCAGAGCCTGCTACTGGAGAAGGCGCAGGCCGAGCGGCTGCTCAGAGAATTAGCGGACAACAGGGTAACGCCCGGCCGCCAGCCCGTGCCCACTGCCGCCCCTCGGCTTCTCGCTTTTGTTGTTTACTCTGTCTTTGGCTGCTGTCCTCACGGTTTTCCTTTTGCACCTGCTCTAGGAGGGAAGTCGAGATACAGAGATGTGCTGATGCTCCATTGCCAAGTGTGCTTATGGGGGTCTTTGTTCTCTGGGACTTTGCTCCCCAGCTCACGGCCCCCTTTGCTGAGAATGTCCTGTGAGACCCCAGCCCTGGTCTCATGCATTGCCACGACAAGGCTTTGGGCCACTTGGGAACATTCTGCCCCTTACGTGGGCAGGCACAGAGACAGCCTGTCCCTGCCTCCCGTCGCCCCAGCTGAGGATCTGCAGATCCTGGCTTTTCTAGGCCAGGGGGTCTGAAACATGGTAGCAGGAGGGGCCAGCCTGAAGGACCTGAGGCTGAGGAGGTGGCAGGGGGGATTTGGGGGAGTGAGGGTGTCCCCAGGGATGGACCTCTGTCAGCCCCAGGGCCTGGCTGTGGTAATACAGTGGTCAGGAAGCCACGAGACAGCTCTGCTTGGGGTGCAGTTTCCCTGAGTCCCTGGGTGAGCTTCCAAGTCCCTTGCTCCAGGCCCACCATGCATTTGCCGGCACTTGCAGGCTAACAGCTGGTCAGCCCAGGGACCAGCCTGATGACAGTTCTCCTGTCAAGGGAGCTAGACGGGCAGTGAGCAGTGACTGGGAAATACACCCCATAAACAACGTGTGGGTGTGGAGTGGTCAGTTTCTGCATGCGAGTGGGCGTGGCCGTGCGTGCAGGTGTCAGGAGACACACAGCCTCCTTTGGCACACTGGCCGTTGTCCGGTGTCCGCATGTGCTCGTGCAGTGCACAGCTCGTGTGCACGACAGCTGCGTGCAGAAACTGACCCAGTCCCTGTGGAGGGGCTGGAGCCCTCCAGACAGACAGGCGCCTTGATCTAGGGCTCAACCTCATTGAGAAACAGAAACAGGATTAGTGGACTAAAGGAAACCTTCAGAAACAAAAAATTTTAAGCTCATAAGAAATTTAAAACTTGAAAATATATTGTTTCCAGATCTATGACCGTCGAGGTGATCAAGGTGGGTGTTGGGGGGATGGAGCCTCTGATCTCAGGGATTTCCGTTGAAAAGCTGGGAGCATTCATTCTCTCCCGTTTTAGACATTGGGCATTCATTCTCTCCCGTTTTAGACATTGCACTGGACGTTTCTTTGGCCACCCCTTCGGCCAGCCCCTTGGCTGGAGACCTTTCTAGGGCAGGATAATGCAGAATTCACCCTGCAGCCTCTGCTCCTTAAAAGTAACATTAACTTAAAGCCATAACCTCAAATGGGTGGTTTCTTTTAACCACTGATTTGTCCCAAGCCACCTAGGGCAGCGGGAACATCGGGCTCTCTGAACCGTTGGGGTACGAGCCAGGGGAGCCTTTCTGGAAGCTGCGGTGGGGCGGGCACCCTTGAGTGGTGAGAGCCCCGCCCCCGCCCACACACCGTGGCGTCCTCCTCGCCCTGCTGCTGGCCCGCTGACCCCTGTCTCCCTCTGCCCTGGCAGCTGACCACAGTGGCCGAGAAGTCGCGGGTGCTCCAGCTGGAAGAGGAGCTGACGCTGCGCCGCGGCGAGATCGAGGAGCTGCAGCAGTGCCTGCTGCACTCGGGGCCCCCGCCCCCGGACCACCCCGACGCCGCCGAGACCCTGCGGCTGCGGGAGCGGCTGCTGTCGGCCAGCAAGGAGCACCAGCGGGAGAGCGGGGTGCTGCGGGACAAGTACGAGAAGGCCCTGAAGGCCTACCAGGCGGAGGTGGAGAAGCTCCGGGCAGCCAACGAGAGGTACGCGCAGGAGGTGGCGGACCTCAAGGACAGGGTCCAGCAGGCCACCAGCGAGAACATGGGGCTCATGGACAACTGGAAGTCCAAGCTGGACTCGCTGGCCTCAGACCACCAGAAGTCCCTGGAGGACCTCAAGGCCACGCTGAGCTCGGGCCCGGGCGCCCAGCAGAAGGAGATCGGCGAGCTGAAGGCGGTGATGGAGGGCATCAAGATGGAGCACCAGCTGGAGCTGGGCAACCTGCGGGCCAAGCACGACCTGGAGACGGCCGTGCACGTGAAGGAGAAGGAGGCCCTGCGGCAGAAGCTGCAGGAGGCGCAGGAGGAGCTGGCCGGGCTGCGGCAGCACTGGCGGGCCCAGCTGGAGGTGCAGGCCAACCAGCACCGGCTGGAGCTGCAGGAGGCCCAGGACCAGCGCCGCGACGCCGAGCTGCGCGTGCACGAGCTGGAGAAGCTGGACGTGGAGTACCGCGGCCAGGCGCAGGCCATCGAGTTCCTCAAGGAGCAGATCTCGCTGGCCGAGAAGAAGATGCTGGACTACGAGCTGCTGCAGCGGGCGGAAGCCCAGAGCAAGCAGGAGGTGGAGAGGCTGCGGGAGAAGCTGCTGGTCGCCGAGAACAGACTGCAGGCGGTCGAGTCCCTGTGCTCGTCCCAGCACACCCACGTAGGCAGCGCCCCTCCTGCCGGGGATGGGGGCCTGCTGGGGAGGGCTTTGGTGTTCGCTGATGTCTCCTTTCCAGTCCCCCAGGCGTATGCCCTGGGTGGCCGGGGAGAGGGCTTCAGACCTCTGTCAGAAGGGCAGCAAGCCCAGGTGGCTGTGGGGACCCAGGGTGGTCTGAGATGACCTGGCTGGGTCCCCCACAGAGCAGGCCTGGAGAGACGTGGCCTCAGTGCAGAGGACAGGCTTCCCTGCCGTCCCCCAGCCCAACACGCCTGCACATGTCCTGCCGTGCTGGCTCCTGGGCCTCCTGTGCCATCCATCTCCCTCCCGGTACCTGGGACCCAGGCCCTGCACCCTGGGGCTGGCCAGGACGTGGAAGGCAGCCCTGCCCATCCCTGGGGCTTCCCATCTCCAGCACAGGTGCTGAGCCCCCTTCTGCCGGTGCTAAGTAGAACAGCCCTTTCCCAGAGTGAGGGGGGCCCGGAGTGGGGCCTCACACGTCTCTAGCCCCTTTCCCTGCATCTCGGCACACTTCTCCCCCAGCTCCTCCAAGGAGGCGGCACCGGGGCAGCCCGGGCTGTGTCTGCTCCAGGGGGGCCTTTGGAGTGGCTCTGGGCACCACGCCTCGTGCCAGGCCCTGCATTACTACGTTGGCTCCGTTTCACGGGTGAGCAAACCAAGTCTCCGAGATGGAGTAACTTTCCCAGGTCCCCAGCCCATCAGCAGCGGAGGTGTCCAGCCCCACTGCCTGCGGGGCCAGTGGAGGGGGCTCAGGACGACAGCAGTCACTTCTCAGAAGCAGGGGCAGCTAGCAGAGCAGTGGCTTCCTGTGTGCGAGGCACTCCCAGGGTCTTTGAGGGTCCAGTTCCCCCGTGTACATTTAAACCAGAATTCAGCATATGGGTGATAAGTTTTCGGGAGTGTGAGTCTAGGGGACCCTTTTGTGTAAACAGAGATCTACCTGCACTAGGCTTTGGGTCCCTTGTGACAGCCGTCCCGCCCCTGTCTCCCAGGGAGGGACGTTTTGTAGCAAGTGCTCTCCCAGCATCCTGGGGCGAAGGAAAAGGGAGAAACCCAAAAGAGCTGGTGTGTCCGGCCTGACTCACTGCCAGAGCAGGTGGAAATGGGCGGGTCCCCTTAGCAGGGGAGGTTTTGGCTGCTGTGGTTCCAGAGAGCCTGGGGGACAAGAGGCCTGGATGGGCTCTGGGGCCAAGGAGTAGCGGTGGCCTCAGGACGGCCCATCTCTCGATTTTCCACACATAATGGGACCTCAGTCTGACCGTTATGTCCCCCAGATTCAGAAGTTTTGTTCCCAGGGACAACTGGATTTTTGGTCTCATGTAGTAAATATGGGAATTAAAAAATACATTTTTTAAGTGCATGCTTCATCTTCGCTGCACCGTGTGTAAGTCACGATCCAGGGGCCTTAGTTAATCACAACTGATTGAGACTAAAGCAGAGCTTGGGACATATGAACAGAAGTATGAGGGGCATAATGATGGAGGTGCCTGCTGAGCCCTGTGCTGCCTGAGCTGAAGTGTTAGACTCTAGCAGACCACAGGCTCAGAGGACAGCCAGCTTGGGCAGGAGACTGGAAACTTCAGCCAAGCAGCAGCGGGGAGCCCGCCGGTTCTTTTGACTTTTGTCATGGTGCTGCTTGCCAGGCTGAGTTTTCCCTTTGTTTAATCAGTCCTTTCTTCTTTGGCTTCTGGGTTTATTATTAAAAAGAAGCGTTGGAGGAAAAGGAACTAGCATTTATTGAAGTCCCCCCCAGGAGGTGGCCCCAGGCACGCTGTGCACACACTGGCCCTCGGCAGCCCAAACTCTTTTTATGGAGGGGAAACCGAGGCCAGGAGTCTTGTCTCTGGGAGACGGGAAAGAGACTCCCAGGACGAGTCTCTGTCGGTGTCCCAGGGCAGGAGACGTCTGCTTAACGTAATAAGCGTTTTCAACAAAGGAAGGGGCAGGAGGTATTTACTCACCCGGAAGCTGCACAAGCAGCCTTCGGAGGAGCTGGGAGCAGAGCGGGGGCTCCTCCGTTGTCAGGAAGGTCAGGCCAAGGACGTTGCTCTCCCTGCCACGGCAGCGAGGCCCTGAGTCTGTCACCCAGGCCCCCTTTGCGGGGAGAGGTGTGCAGACTGCAGGTGCACTTGCTGGGCTGGCCAGGGCCAAGCGGGGGCGGCGGGCGTCCCCCTCACAGGGGCTCTTCTTCCAGGTGATTGAGTCCAACGACATCTCGGAGGAGAAGATCAGGACGAAGGAGACTCTGGAGGGTGAGTGGCCACCCAGCCGGGTGGGACCCGGGCTTTGGGGAGAGGCCAGCAGGCTCTGCCTTCCAGCCGGTCACATGTTGTTCTGCATCTCCCGCCATTTGGTGGCCTCCTGTGTGCGTGCACCTCCACCACGGGTGAGGAGGGCGGCAGCCCCATGTGCCAGGTGCTGGGCATCGTGCTGAGTACTTCATCATTCGTATGGGCCAAGCTTTATTTCTAAAAGCAGATGTAAACTTCAGATGGTCCTAAGGGCATGTGGCAAAGTGCTGCCCACCCCTCGCGGAAGGCGCAGCGTAGCCATCTCATATACACCCTTCCCAGAAACAGTCTGCACGTACCAGCAGCGAGGTGACACAAATGATACTCCACTGCCCACGCTTACACTGAACGAGGGATGTCGGAGACCGTTGCCCGTCAGTAGCGCGAGTCTTATGTGGTGCAGGCTGCCCCATCCTGTGGAGGGACTGTCGTCGTGTGGTTAGCCGGTTTCCCACCAAGGATCTCTCCAGCCCTGGTCCGGTGGAAACGGCTGCGGCACAGCTCCGTGCCCTGCACTGGCCCCGCCGGCGGGACCATGTGGGGTTGCCGGCAGGTGTCCCACAGACCTCGCTAACGAAGAGTCTCGTGGGGCTTTGTGAGATGTAAAAGGTGTCACCTGATAGAACTTCAGCTCCCCTTCCTCTTACGTGAATGAAGTTGAGGGGTATTTCTGCTGCCGTTTCTGCTGTGTCCCTCGCCCGTTTCCTCTGATTGGGTCGTTGATCTTTCTGCTGATTTTTTAGAAGCTCTTTATATATGACATTGCAGACATTTTTTCCACTTTCTGGTTTGTCTTTTGACTCCTCCCCTGCCCCAAAGATGGTGTCTCACTGTGTTGCCCAGGCTGGTCTTGAACTCCTGGGCTCAAGCGGTCCTCCCGCCTCAGCCTCATGTTTAGCTGGGACTACAGGTGTGCACCATCACGCCCGGCTGATATTTTTCCTTTTTTGTAGAGATGGGGTCTCACTGTGTTTCCCAGGCTGATCTTGAACTCCTGGCCTCAAGTGATTCTCCTGCCTTGGCCTCCCAAAGTGCTAGGATTACAGGCATGAGCCACGGTGCCCAGCTTCAGCTATTCTGTTTTGAAATTAAGATGGAATTAAAATGACAAAACCAACCATTTTAAAGTGAACAATTCAGTGGCGCTTAGTACATTCACAGTGTTGTGCGGACACCGCCTGACTAGTTCCAAAACATCCCAGGACCCCAAAAGGAGACCCCAGCCCATGAGAAGGGCTTCTCTGCCCTCCCCTCCCCCACACCCAGGACAACCACTCATTTACTTTCTATCTCCATAGCTTTGCCCGTTCTGGACATTTAATGCAAATGGAATGACACAATCCGCAGCCTTTTATGTCTAGCGTCTCTCACTTAGCGTAATGCTTTCACGGCCCATCTAGTATCATAGGTATCAGCACTTGGTTCCTTTTTATGGCCAAATAATACTCCATTGTGTGGAGGGACCACATTTTCCTGATCTGCTCATCTGCTGATGGACACGTGGGTTGTTTCTGCCTTTTGGCTGTTGTGTGATGCTGCAGTGAACACTGCACGGCCCCGTCACACCTGTTTTCATTCCTTGGGGCACATGTGTAGGAGTGGAGCGCTAGGCCACATGGTAATTCTGTCTCATTTTGGGGGGAACTGCCGAACTCTCTTGGCTTTTCTTATTTTTCGGAGTGATTTTAGGATCGGCGTATCTAGTTCCACAGACGTTAAAGCCTTGTTTGTGTATTTGTTAGTATTATATTACACTTACAAATTAACTTGCAGTTTGAGACCAGCCTGGTCAACAGAGAAAGATACTGTCTTTACAAAAAATTTAAAAAATTAGCCGGGTGTGGTGGCATGCACCTGCAGTCCTAGCTACTCGGGAGGCTGAGACAGGAGGATCACTTGAGCCCGGGAGTTGGAGGCTGCAGGGAGCTATGATCACACCCCTGCACTCTCCAGCCTGGGCGACAGAGTGAGACCTTGTCTCTAAAAAATCATTTAAAAATTTTTAATGAAAAAAATAAAATAAAAATACCAGGCACTTTGCATGCATTCTGTCCTTCATGGCCACTGGGAGGGCCCAGAGTTGTATACACGTGACTAGTGACCCGGGCACCATTATCGTCCCCGGTTTTCACTTAAGGAAACTAAAGCCATGACAAGTTACCAAGACCACAGCGTCAGATCCTCTTCTTAGAGTGGGTCACCCAGAGGGACAGCTGGTGGTGTCCATGGAGGCCACGTGTGGCCCCATCTTGGGACTCCCGCAGGAGGGCCGCACCCTTGCCTGCTGGCTAGCACTGTCGGCCCTGGAGCAGGGATGCGTCTCACCTCTCCCTTCTCCTCTAGGCCTGCAGGACAAGCTGAACAAGAGGGACAAAGAGGTGACAGCCTTGACGTCCCAGACCGAGATGCTCAGGGCCCAAGTAAGTGGTAAGTCTCCCTTCCGCAGGGCAGATGCGGGGGCTTTCGTGGGGGCCGTGCTTGGCGAGCATGGAGTGGGTCAGCGCCTGGGTCAGGGCCCCCTTCCCAACTCGGCTTTGAGAAGGAGGCTGCCTGGGCCTCGTCACTTGCGCTGGACATGCAGCTGGGTGGCCGCAAGTGGGAGTGTAGCCACCCCCACACAGTCCATCGTATAATGGGGCCCCCAGCCAGCTTCTCCCCCAGGGCCAGCTGTGTGTGCCCCATGGCCTGCAATTCCATGACACCGCCCTCTCTCTGGTCTTGACGGCCTCCTGGTTTCTCATAGGCCACCTTGATACAGTCCCTCTGCCCCCGGCCCCTGGAAGAAACACCAGGGCTGATTTCAGAATCGGGGGAAGGACGCTGGCCGCAGCCAAGGGCAAGGCACGAGGAGGGGGAGCCTGGGGAGAGTCAGGGGTCTGGACTTGTGACTCTGTGACAAGAAGGCCCGCGGTGGCGTCCGTGAGACGGCCCCTCCTGGGACGTGACCCCAGCCCCTCCTCTGTCCAGCCCTCCACATTCACGTGGCACAGTGGGTCCCGACAGAGGTCAGGGGACCTCACACTCCTCCCAGGCCAAGGAGAAGACATAGATAGCTTTTCCTTGTAGGGACAAAGGTGTAAACACGACGTCCTCCAGGACAGGGCTGCTTCCCGCACCAGGGGGCCTCGCTCCGTGCCCTCCGGCTTGCTCTGCTTCCCTAGCTGCTCCCTCGGGCCCTGCTGCCTGCCTCTGAGAGGGACAGAGACCCAGAAAGCGGAATGTCATCCTCTGGGGAAAATCAGTGGCCTGCTGGGGCCCTGCCCCCAGGCAGGACAGATTCCCAAATGTTCCCGCCCCTCTCCCTCCCGCCCACCCCAGCGCTGGAGAGCAAGTGCAAGTCGGGAGAGAAGAAGGCGGACGCACTCCTCAAGGAGAAGCGGCGCCTGGAGGCCGAGCTGGAGGCCGTGTCCCGGAAGACCCACGACGCCTCGGGCCAGCTGGTCCTCCTGAGCCAGGAGCTGCTGCGCAAGGAGCGGTGAGTCCTGCAGGGCCGCCCGGCCCGCGCTGCGCCTGACCCCGGCCTGTGTTCTCCCGGGGCAGAGGGGACGGACCGGTGGGACAGGTGGCTGCTCACCGGTGGTCACAGTGCTCTCCTCTGCCAAGCTCAAAGGAAGCGTCTGAAGCCTCAGCACGGTCTCCCAGCCAAGCTCCCAGGGAAGATTAATGCTCCCCAAACCTTTTGGTCCCAGGGTCCCCTTTAAACTCTTAAAAATTATTGAGGGTCCCCAAAGAGCTTCCATTTGTTTATTCTACATTTGCCGTATTAGAAGTTAAAACCAGCACTCTGGGAGCCTGAGGCGGGAGGATCGCTTGGGCCCAGGAGTTCGAGACCAGCCTGAGCAAGAGCAAGACCCCGTCTCCGCAAAAAATAGAAAACTTAGCCGGGTGTCGTGGCGCATGCCTGTAGCCCCAGCTACTTGGGATGCTGAGGCAGGAGGATCGCTTGGGCCCAGGAGTTTGAGATTCCACTGTACTCTAACCGGCTCGACAGAGTGAGACTGGAATGACTCAAAAAAAAAGAAAGAAAGAAAACTGAGAAATTTAAAGATATTTATTAATCCATTTAAAAATAATAAGCCAATTACATGTAATGTGGATAATATGCTTTTGATAAAAAGTAGCTATTTTCCAAAACACAAACTATTTAGTCCAAAGAGTGGCATTGTTTTACATTTTTGCAAATTTCTTGAATGTTGGACCTAATAGAAGATAGCTGGATTCTTGTGTCTTCTGCATTCAGCGTTTGTGAGTTGTCGTTCTGGTTGAAGTGTGTTATGAAAATCTGACCTTATGTGGATATGTAATTGGAAAAGGGAGGAGTATTTTAATATCCTTTTCATATAATTATTAGTATGTCACATAGCCCCAGGAAAAAATCCATTTATGCTCAAGAGAAATGACAATGAAAATAGTTTTTTTATTATTATGAAAATAGTTTTGACCCATGGGCCCCTGAAAAGGTCATGGGGACCTGTTGGGGGTTCCCCAGACCACACTTTGAGAACCGCTGGGCTATATACAGTCCACAGACGTGGCTTGTGTGATCCATAGGAAGCTTAAAAATGAGACAAGCATTTAAAAACCAGAAAATGCCCCATAAAATCCAGCTCTCTCCAGATTCCCTTAAAACATTGGAAGATCTGACAACACCGGGCTGACTTCTAGCATGGCAGCCACCAGCCATTGCTGGGGTGCTCCTGCCCCTCGGGGTCTCCCCAGTTCCTCACCCCTTCATTGTTTTTCTTGCGTGGTTCCCAGCCCTGCCAGCTTTGAGCTTCATGCTTCAGCCCTGGGTGAGAGCAATCTCTGTGAAGCACAAACGTGCTTTTGTGAAGGAAACGCTGCCTCCTCCCGTACAGGTTGGGAATTTCTCTGCTAGATTTGCTTCTACTCTAGCAGCTCTCTAGAAAGTGCGGCCCTGCCCAGGAAGGGGTTAAACAGATGTGATGAGGCAACTTGGGAACATTCCAGAGCCCTCTGCAGAGGCTGCCTTCTCCAGCACAACCAATCATTGGGGCTCCACTGCCTTCTCCCTCCCTTCCAGTCTTCTGTCCCAAGTGGAAATTTTATTCCTGGTGCTCAAGCCAGTCTCGCCTTCCCCCAGGAGTCTCTCTGGACAGTCCTGGCACAGGGATGCCCCTTCCCGAGTCCCAGCAGGATTCACTGGACGTTTTGGTCTTCCATCAGCTGTCTGGATTTTTCTCATCCTCAGCGACGTTTCTGCTTTCCTAGCGCCTGGCCTTGGGCCGTCTCCCTGCTGTCAGCAGGCTCATTCCTTCTTCTAGCTCTGTCACTGTGTGATTCCTCCCTTCTGGAATACCGTCCTCTGGTCATTTCATTAAGTTCAGTCCATTCTTCCAGGCTTAGCTCACAGTCCACCTCCTTCTTAAACCCTTTCTTGATTGATGTAGGCCACAGAGGCTCTTCCACATTCCTGAGGTGCTTAGGGTGGGGGTGGGAGCTCAGCTAGGAATGCTTTGGCAACAATAACATCATATCCATCAAACAGCAGATTAAACTAGTAGAGATTCCCTTTCCTCAGGTGACAAGAAACTTGGAGGTAGCTGTGATTAGAGCTTGGTACAGAGGCTCAGGGTCTTAGTACCAAGACCTATGTGGTTCTCCTTGCCACTCCTTCATGGTTGCAAGATGGCTGCTGAAGCTCCAGCCATCACATTCTAACAGGAAGGAAGAGGAAAGGGAAGGGAATGGTGCCAGCCGATTTCTACTGCTGGAAACTACCCATGGCCACCTAGTAAGGGAGTTTTCCCGTCTTTGATAGTGGATGCAGGCACTTCTAAGGTGAATATTTTGGTGGTTTGGTTTTTTAAATTTTTAATTAAAAAATTTATTTTCTTTTTTAAAAACACTTGAAAAGCTTTTAGGAAAAGCCAAGTCCTCCGGACTGTCCCATTCCCAAACCCTGGCCTGTGGGCTGTGGTCAGATGTTTCCACTGTGGCCCTTGTGGGACAGGTGCTAATGCCAGTGCCCCCACGCTGGGGTGGTCAGTGTGCGGGTCCTTGGCACACTGCTGGGGCGTGGGAGCTGGGGGCAGGGCTGACTGTGGCTGTTCTGTCCCCGACCGCCCAGGAGCCTGAACGAGCTGCGAGTACTGCTGCTGGAAGCCAACCGCCACTCCCCGGGGCCCGAGAGGGACCTGAGCCGCGAGGTGCACAAGGCTGAGTGGCGGATCAAGGAGCAGAAGCTCAAGGACGACATCCGGGGCCTGCGAGAAAAGCTGACGGGGCTGGTACGCAGGGACGGGGCGGCCTGGGGGTGGGGGGCCCTGCTGTCAGGCCATGGAGACTGGTGACCCCAAGGACAGCCAAGTCGCAGGAGGATTTAAAAACGCCCTGGGATCAGAGGCACGGTCAGCAACGTGGCAGGCGGAAGGGCGCTGGGCAGCCCGTTTTGCAGATGTCGTGGCTGGTTATGTGGCAGTCTGTGGGTGCAGCTGGGGGTGGGCCCTGGCCCTCAGGGTTCAGGCTAAGGGGCACCACTCTGGCCGCTCACGCAGACTGGGTGTGGTGTCACTGGGCCCAGCCGCCCTGCTGGCTTTCCTGTCCCGGCATGTCTGGCCACAGGGGTTTGGTTCCAGCACCCTCCGTGGTCCTCGTGGCTCTGCGATCTGAGAATGACTCAGGAGAAGACTTGGCCTTGGGGCTGGCGGGGACTGGGGAGTTCTGAACCCCCTGGGGCTTTCCCAGAGCCACGTGGGAGGTGGGCAGTTCTGGGCTCAGCCTCCTCCCCAGGGGCACAGGTGGGTCAAGTTTACGTGCACATCCCCGCCCCCAGGGCAGCCTCCCGTCTGCTCCCTGCACTGCGCCCGGCGCCAAGGGGGTACTGGGGAGAGCGTGGTGGGTGGGCCGAACCACCCAAGGGGAGGAGGGCTCTGTGAGGACAGGCTTGGCTAGAGGGTCAGGGTGGGCAGGGCCGTGCAGCACATGGGGGATTGGGGACTGGGTTCACGTGGCCAAGGATGGCCAAGGAGAGGGCCACCTGGGCAGGCGCAGCTCTGGGTGCCCTGGTGGGGCGGCTGTGGAGGGAGGACAGCCCTGTAGGACAGTGGGGGGTGATGTAAGAAGGAAAGGAGGGAGGGGCCTGGATTTCGGGACCTGGAGATCATGGAGCGTCCAGCAGAGCCTGGGAGTTCAGGGCAGGGGACCTGCAGGGAGGGAGAGAGGCCGAGGGACATCCGAGTGACGCCCAGGCCTGGACCCAGAGATGCGGTGGGGCCGGACTTTCCTGCCTGGAGGTAAGACCACCCCCCCATCACACACATCACACGCATTCTCTCGCACACACACGTGTGTGCACATGCACGTGTGCACACACGCTCTTCCACGCTCCCACTGCTTCCAGGACAGAGAGAAGTCCCTGTCGGACCAGAGGCGCTACTCCCTCATCGACCCGTCCTCAGCGCCCGAGCTCCTGCGGCTGCAGCACCAGCTGATGAGCACGGAGGACACGCTGCGGGACGCGCTGGACCAGGCTCAGCAGGTGGAGAAGCTCATGGAGGCCATGAGGAGCTGCCCCGACAAGGCCCAGGTGAGCCACGGGCCGGGCCGGGTGACCAGGAGGGGCCCTCGGGCTGAAGGGAGCGGGGAGGAGGCCCTGCCTTCTGGGAGGCCAGGCCAAGGGGTCACGGCTGTGCCCTGAGGAGCTCAGACTGAGAGGCGTGGCCCTGGGGGGTCCCTGGAGCCCACGTCGGTCCCACTGGGGAGACCTCGCCACCTAGTGGGCGAACCAGGAACTGCTGCCTGGTGCACCTCGCTCAGCATCTCCTGCCGACTTTTCCAGACCATCGGCAATTCCGGTTCTGCAAACGGCATCCACCAGCAAGACGAGGCTCACAAACCGGCGGTAAGGGGCGCCCTGGCCTCCCCAGGCCCTCCCGTGCAGGCACCTCTCTGGGGAAAACCCTGAAAAGCCACTAAAACCGCAGACAAAGCTGCAGCGCGCCAGAAGCTTTACAGTGGGGCCACGGAGGAGGGGCTGGGCGGTCAGACTGATTCGTTTCCATCCGCTCTGTGGGCCTCGTTACCTTCCCTATTGTTGTAGAGCATCACGTGCCTGTCTTAGTCCGCTTAGTGCTGCTATAAAGGAATACCTGAGGCCGGGTGATTTACAAAGAAAAGAGTTATTTAGCTCTTGGTTGTGCTGGCTGGAAGGTTCCAGATAGGGCATCTGGCGAGGGCCTCCGGAAGCTTCCACCGAGGCAGAAGGCAAAGGGGGTCAGCCGCATGCAGAGATCATGTGGCCAGAGAGGAAGGGGGAGCAGGTGCCAGGCTCTTTTTAACAACCAGCTCTCGAGGTGACTAATTTAAAGAGCAAGAACTCAGCCAGCCATCCAGACTGTAGCAATGCCAATGTGGAAACTCTGGAAAAAATTGCAAAAATGTGTGAAGAAGAAATGTTCACCAGTGGCCCTCCTGCTCAGAAACGACCTGGCCTGGCTGGGCGTGGTGGCTCACGCCTGTAATCCTAGCACTCTGGGAGGCGGAGGCGGTCGGATTGCTCAAGGTCAGGAGTTCAAAACCAGCCTGAGCAAGAGCGAGACCCTGTCTCTACTATAAATAGAAAGAAATTAATTGGCCAGCTAATACAGAAAAAATTAGCCGGGCATGGTGGCACATGCCTGTGGTCCCAGCTACTCGGAAGGCTGAGGCAGGAGGATTGCTTGAGCCCAGGAGTTTGAGGTTGCTGTGAGCTAGGCTGACGCCACGGCACTCACTCTAGCCTGGGCAACTAAGCGAGACTCTGTCTCAAAAAATATATATATATTAAAAAAAAGAAAGAAAGAAACGAACTGTCCTGGGAACCCTGGTGTCCTCTAAGCAGTCTCCTTCCTGAACTTCCCCAAGCGTGGGTGTGCGGGTGTGTGTGGATGTCTGTACTTGCTGACATTTATCCGGAACCCCCAAATCGGTACTGTCGGTACTGTCATGGTCATTCGCACCTGGGCACAGAGAGGCCAAAACTTGAGCTGCCCCATGTGCACTCCCTGAGGTCGAACAAGGCAGCTCTCACGCTATAAGCAAGGGTCCCTCTCGCAGTCTGTGCAGTGCCACGTTTCCACATTTCTGTGCTTTCTGTGGGTGATCTTGCTGTTGAACGTGGTCCAGTGCTGTCCAGCGTTCGTCCACACAGGCCGCTGTCCCATGCCTTGCAGAGACAACACGTATGTGCTAGATAAGCTCCGTTCAGGCGTGGGCTGTCGTGTCGTTGGCCACGAGTTCAGTGTTGATGAATCAACCAGAGATGCTAAATGCAGCGACTTTAAACAGAAGTGCACGTGAAACGAGGTTGTGTTTTGATCGGTTGATGAACGCGTGATTAGAGGCTCGCAAGACTCTAGCCCTATGTTCTCACTGGAAGCAATGGGTCAGTGTTCCGTGATGACTTTCTGGAATATAACTGCTGCAGATAACAAGAATCATCATTGTATGTGTGTGCATATACATATCTGGGTCTATATATTAAGTTTTTATTTAAAAATCATTTCAAACTTACAAACTAGAATCAAAGTAGTGCATAGAACATTGTATAATGTATACCATTGACTGTATACCATGTTGTTAATATGTTGTCGTTACCCTTTGCTGTCTCTGTGTGGATATGTGTGTATACTAATACAATTTTTCTGAACCAGTTGGGTATAATTGCATGTGTCATGGCCCCAAACACTGCAGTCCCTGTTCCCTGAGGGAAGGACAGGCTTTCACATAACCACAGTAGTTACCAACCTCAGTAAGTGTAACATCGATACGAGATTTGCATCTAATCGGCTCTCTGAGCTCCAGTGTTTTCCGTTTGCCCAATACTGTCTCCAGGACTCTAGTTTCCAAGTGCAGGATCCAGTCTAGTGTTAAGTCGTCATATGACATCTCGTCATTGCGTCTCTTTGGTCTTGTTTGGTCTGGAACATTTCCTCTACTTCTCTTCGATTTTTATGACATTGATTTTTTGTCTGACATAATCAAGTTTTATTAAGTCAGCACATTTAAAAAGTGTGTCATGGGGTGGAGACAAAGGCTCAGGCGTTAAAATATACACATATATAAGCAAGTACCTCTCCATGTCGCCAGGACTGAAATCACCACTTGCAGATCTGTCTCGAGTACAGGGGACATGAACACCTACCGGAGCCAATGAACTAGGCTGGGGGGTGGGGGGAGCGGATGACCACTCATGACAACATAAATGGGCCAGGGGGGTGTGGGTGGACAGTCCCCTATCCAGAACCCATAATCCAGTTGGCAATGAGATGAGGAAACCATATGATTCAGACATAAAGGCAGAAAAATAATGTCACTCCCAAAGTGCACGAGTGAACCACAGACACTGGCCAAGGGGATATGACCACATACTCTGATCCCAGAACTTAAGGACAGGGTACCGTTCCCACACGGTGCAGGGGTAGGCGAAGAATCACCCCTGTTCTGGGACTGCAAAGCAAGTGCCCTAAGATGCAGCCCTAAGGGGCTCAGTGCACCCTCCCCCCCCCCCCCCCGCCAGGCTTACTGAGGCCAGGAGCAGAGACAGCCCCAAGCCCCCTCAGAAGCCCCCTCAGTCTCAGCCAGAGCCACCTGTACTCCTTGCACCTGTGTCCCCAACCCACACACTCCCCTATCTGGCGTGGGGCGGTGGCTCCCGGTCCAGCTCCATCCGCCCACCAGAGCTGGCTGTGTAGGACTGAGACTCCCGTGACACAGGGAGATGTCACCCAAGCTGGGGATTTGACACAGTTCCCCATCTTCTGGGGCTGGAATGTTTGATCTGGGGGGGAGGGGAAAGAAAGCAATGGTGGGGTCAGCCTTGGGCCCCCACCCCCAGGGGCTGGCATGACCCCAGGGGTGGGTGCCACGGCCTGAGCCCTGGCAACCCTGCGACTGTTCCCCAGGGCTCTTGGGGACACTTGCTGACCAAGCCCTTGCTCTCTCTAGGACAAGCACTGACCCTGCAGGACACCGTGGATCGGCCCAGTCCACACCAGAGCCCCAGCCAGCTGCCCGGCGATGCCCCCTCCAGGCAGGGGCCAGGACTGTCACTTTGGAGACAAGACAGTGTTTGTAACAATAGCGTACTCGCCACCACGGAACCCCATCCCAAATGCCCTGCCAGACCAGGAAGCTTCCTGAAGCACAGCCTTCTACAGAGAGCGGTACAGCCCTGGCCCGGCCCGGGGCCCTCAGCCTGGACACGCGGCAGCTTCCGGAGTCTGTGTGGAGGCGGAGGTGACCCAGGCTGGCCCCTCTGCAGGGACCGTCTTGGTGGGACCGTCTTGGTGCCCTGGGCGCTTCCCTGCCCTCCCCTTCCCCCCTCCTCCCCAGGCTTCCTTCAGACCCCAGAGGGGCCAGGGAGGCCCGGCTTCCCTGCCGGCCTGAGGAGGGGAGCCCAGTCTTTGGGGGCTGACTGGGGCTCCTTCTCTGCGGCCCCTTCCTGGCCAAGGCAGTCCCCAGGGCTGCTCCCCACATACTGAGCCTTTTTCAAACAGTGGTACAAGTTCCCCTCAGCCAGTCTGCCCAGCCCAGCCCCCAGGTTCAAGGTGTCGGGGGCCGGGGGATGGGGTCTTTCCTGCCCCACCCCAACACCAACACACTCACACCTCCAGGCTGTTGGCAGAGGCTGTCCACGGAGGCCAGAGCCACAGTCTTGAGAAGTCTGGAAGCCCCTCCTTCAGCCCCACCACGACCCTGGGCAAGCCTAGCTGGGGCGGGGGCAGCCACGGTGGGCCCAGAGTGAGGGCTCGGGCATGTGTTGACAAACATCAGTAATCTGGTGTCCTCTGGGCTGGCTGGATGTTCCAAAAATTGGGCCTCCCATCTGCAGATACACCCCTGCAGGCCCTGGGGTACACCCCCTGTTCTCGCACACACACACGCACACACACTCAGAGGGACCACGTGTGCACACGGCCGTGTGCGTGGCGGCGTTTGCAGTTAACCACACTGAGCCACGCTGATGCACTGGGGTTCCAGGGCTGAGGCCGAGGCCCGGGAGGGCTGTGCCCTCAGACGCTACACATTCCCGCAGCCTGGGCGTGCACATACATGCCCGGGGACACGCAGCCATCAGAACACGCACATTCCAGCAGCCGCCCCGGTCTCCCCAGGTCCCCACGCAGAGCTGCGCACGCCTGTGTCCTGCAGCCAGAGGAAGAACCGTGGGGCTGTCAGGGGTGAGGAAATCCAGCGGCCTCCGTCTTCCCCTCACGCCCGCTTGAGCCTGTGTGTGGCCGGGCACCCCCTACCCCTCCCTGGAGGGCCACCCATGGCTCATTGCCTTGCCCCTCCGCATCGGTGCAGAGGAGCTCGGGAGTCTCCACGGGAGGCCTCCCCTGCCGGGGCCTAGAGGGAGAAACCTGGTGCCCATGCTGGCTGTGCCGGAGTGCACGGGTTGGGGACACTGTTCACAGGAACGGCCCAGGTCGCCCGAGAGTGCTGCCAGGTGCGGGCAGGCAGCGCACACGTTCTTGCCCAAACGCAGCCCATCTGGGGGACGGCAGGTCCCGTCGGCCCCCTTCCCACTCCCTGTCGGCTTTCGGTAGCTCTCGCATGCAGTTCTCTTAACAGCAGCTAGAAGCGATGCTTTAGTGGCCTAACCCAGAGTCAAACACTGCTCTTTCCAGCAAAGTCCGGCAGCTCGGCCTTACCCGCAGGAGGCGCCGATTAGTCTACTAACAGCCAAAGGCCCCGCCGCAGGGCTTTGGGAGGGCGAGCCCCCGGCATGGGCTTGCTGGTGGCAGGTGTCCTAGGAGCGATCTCCCGTGAACACCTGCCTGCGGGGGTGGCCGCTCCGGCCTGGCTCAGCCGTGCCCCTCCCAAGTCCTTCCCCTCCCTCCCCCACAGTGGAATTGTTGAAGTGTGGCGAGTCTGTGCTCGGGACAATAAAGCTTGTGACTGACGTCCAGGACCCCGGCAGTCATCTGGTGTCTCTGTGGACGCCTTGGGCTCCCCAGCCTCCCCCAGGTCTTGGGCCCCTGGTGCCAGGAGGCGGCCCTTGGTCTGGTCTCTGCTGCCAGCTAGTTCCTGCTCCGATGCGGACGCGGAGGAGGGGCTGGAGGTGAGGGAGTCCCGGCCGAGATGCCCTGTCCCAGGAGAGGAGCCAGGGCAGGCCAGAGAGGGCGTGCCCGAGTTAGCGTTGGGATCTGAGTGAGAGTGGGCGTGCGGGGAAACAGAGAGAGCTCACGGGTCAGCCAGCACGCGTTTGCCGAGTCCAATGAGAACTCTTCCACCTGAAGTGAGGAACCATTTCCTGCAGCAAGCTTTCTGTGGGTCGGACGAACAGCGCGACCGCCGCCAGCTCCGAGGTGGGGCTGCCTCCCTGGGAGACCCCGCGAGGCCCCTGCGATGAGAGTTGAATGTGCCCTGTCTCGGGCTTGAGCAGCATCCTGGAGGAGGCAGTGGGACAGTCCCAGGAGGAGCGAGAGCTTACGGGATGGGCTGTGTGTGCAGGTGTGGACGGGGCTATTGGGACCCACAGGGGATTCTGATGAGCCATTACTGCCCCAAGGGGCGAAGCGAAGCAGCTGTCACTGGAACCGGGCAAAAGCCACAGCCGGGGGACAGGCGGCCAATAGGCAGTGGTGCTGCCCAGTAGGGAAGGAGCTGGGGAGCAAACACCAGACCCCTCTCTTCCCACCACATCCTGACGGGCCCTCCTGCTGGCTGAGCCCGGGTTAGGGAGCACAGAGCGGATCTGGGGTGTGGACAGACCCGGGATAGATCTAAGCAGCACCCTATTCTCTGGGCTTCTGCTTCTCGGAATATAAATGGTCTCTGTCCTTCCAGAACTTACCTTACCAGCCCAGCGTTTTGAAATTCACAGAGCTGCAAACGGGAGCCTTTCCTCTCAAGACAGCCCACACCCCTGTGACCTGTGGTCCCTTTCTCTGCTGGACCAGAGGCGCTGGGTTGGCTGAGGGTGCTCACCATGTCACCCTCCCCGGTGAGCATTCCATCACCCCTTTGGCCTCCAGTGGGAACTCCACACCAGGGTCGTGGGGTCAGAGAAGAGCAAGGTCCCCACTCATGCATGTCCCGGCCACCAGTCAATGCGACAGTGTTGACAGCCCTGGTGTGGGCAGGGAGGGCGAGAGCAGCAGGCGGGACTGTCGGGGGGTGGGGGGCCTGGTGCACCTGCGAGGCCTGGGGGCAAGGCTCACCTGCTTTCCCAGGTCTGGCATCCTGAGCCCTCGGTCTGCCCAGGGCCTGACATCCAGGAGGGAGGAAAGCAAGCTGGAAGAGGATGGGGGTCCTGGGGGTGATAGATCTGCAGAGAGCTCCAGCCCTCAGGGGTCTAATGGCCTCAAGGGCTGGAAGACCCCCATGTGGGGGGGTGCAGTCGGAGGGCAGCATGGGCCCTTCAGAGGCTGCGGTGGGGTCTCTGACAGCACCACCCTGGAAAGAGCTCAGGCCCTGGACATCCTTGGGGTCCAGCCCATCCCGCCACCCTCTGGCTCTTGGGCTCATCCACTCCCCTGAGCCTCAGTTTCCTCATCTTTGAAATGGATGAAATAAAACAGACCTCGTGCACTGTGGGGTCTGAGTGGGACCCTGCAGAAACCCTTAGAATGCGGGCTCCGCCCAGGTGGTTTCCTCCCTGCTCCCAACCTAGCGGGGAAGCTGCAGAGCACACAGGCAGGGGACATGTGCTCACACGTGACAGGAGCCTCGGAGCTCAGTGCAGCAGGTGGCCCCGCTTTGAAGCACCAGGAGCCAGCGGCAGGCAAGGTGCCCCCCCAGGCGTGGGGTTTCCGGAGGGCTGGGAGCTGGCTGCTCTGAACACAGAGGGTGCACCCCCACCGTGCCTGGCTTGACTTTTCTTTCTTAACTTTTTAATATTCACATCACTTTAGATTTACAGAAGAATTGCAGAAAAATAGTGGAGTTCCCATACACTTTTCCCATTCCCCTGATGTTAACATCTGCAGGCCGGGCACAGTGGCTCACACCTGTAATCCTAGCACTCTGGGAGGCCGAGGCCGGAGGATTGTTTCAGCTCAGTAGTTCAAGACCAGCCTGAGCAAGAGCAAGACCCTGTCTCTACCAAAGATAGAAAAGTTAGCTGGGTGTGAGGGCGTGAGCCACTGTACATTAATCCAAACTAGGAAATGAATGTGATGGGTATAGCATCACCAGCATGGGTTTTATTTGGATTTCCCCAGTTTTCCCACTAATGTCCTTTTCCTGTTCCTGGATCGCACACTGTATTTATTCATCGTGTCTCCTTAGTCTCTCCAGTCTGTGACAGTTCCTCAGACCTCCCTTGTCTTTCATGACCTTGGCATATTTGGAGACCCCTGGCCAGTTATTTTGTGGAATGTCCCTCAGTTGGATTTTTCTCCTGATCATATCGAGGTCATGCATCCTTGGGAAGGTGGCTAGGAGGGGATGTGTCCACCCAGGGCATCAAACCAGGGAAGAAGTGAGGTTGAAATGTCTAATTACTGGTGACCTTAACCTTGATACTGGAATAAAGTGATGGGCGCCAGGATGCTCCACCATAAAATTACTTTTCCCTCTGTATAATTCCTAAATATCTTGAAGGAGATGCTTTAAGCTGTTTTAAATACCCTGTTTCTCCTTAAACCTTCACCACCAAGTTGAGCATCCATCCATGGATCCCGCTTGCAACAGTTAGCACTGTGATTGTTGTGGTTTTCTAGCTTCTTCGTTTGCTGGAATTCTGTTAGGAAGGGCTGCCTTTTCTCCCCATCAGCCCAGCTGTTTATAGCAGTGTGGACCCGTGGGTATTTGATGCTTTGGGCGGAATCCAAGGCTCTCAGTGTGTGCCTTGTTGCTCAAGTTTTCTAGCTGTGGCCATCGGGAGCTCCTTCAGCTGGTTCCTCTGCCCCTTGACACGCCCTCATCTTTTGGATTTTCAAGCGCTTCTTTACTGTTTGGTACTCCAAGATGCCTCAGGCTCATCCTGTGTTCTCCCTTCCCCAGCCCTGGAACCAGCCAGTGAGAGATGAAGGTAAAGCACAAACAACCAAGGGGCAAAAAACCCAGATTATTGAACTTCATTAAAACATAAAACCTTTGTAACGAACGTCAAGGGTCACCCACTGAATGTGAGAAAATGTTTGCAAATCATGTAAGGGCCTCAGATCCAGACTGTGGAAGGAATTCTTTCAACTCAACAATAAATAGACAAATAACCCGATTTTTAAATGTGCAGAGGATCTGAATACACATTTCTCCAAAGAATATATACAAATGACCAATAAACACATAAAAAGATGTTCAACGTCACTAGTCATTAGGGAAATGCAAATCAAAGCCACAGCAAGATACACTAGGATGGCTAAAATTTTAAGACAGACAATCACAAGTGTTGGCAAGGATGTGGAGAAATTGGAACTCTCATACATTGCTGGTGGGGGTGCAAAATGGTGCTCTGGAAACGTTTGGCCGTTCCTCGAAATGTTAAACATAGAGTTATCAGATGAGTCAGCAGTTTTACTCTTAGGTATATACTCAAGATAAAACAAATCTATGTAAAACCTTGTACATAAATATTCAAAGCATATTCATGATAGCCAAAAAGTGGAAACCATACAAATGTCCGATCAACAGATGAATGGATAAACAAAGTGTGGTAT